CGCCGCCTTTAAAGATGCTGCTTGCCACTGCATTATTTTTCAAAGTAAAAAGTTCATTGTAAGATACCATAATTAGCCAATTTTTTAATAGTGAACATATTAGATTGCTATATATATGAGAATTCAAAATCTAGATGTGAGCCGACAGATAGAAACAACGTAGTGGGATAATCCGGGTTAACAGTGGAAGTGCCTCAGACTGGCTGGCCGACATTTCGATAGGAGGACCTATAGCGCCTTTGAAAAAGATAGGTCCTCCTATCGAAACGTCGGCCAGGCAGTCTGAGGCACTTCCACTGTTAATCCCGATTATCCCACAACAAATATGAGAGGCATTCTTGTCAATAAAGCGCCTATGTCAAGTTAGAAATACAATCACCATGTTTCCAACTGGCTAACCCACACACACAGATATATATATTGTGAGCGCGACAAGCGAGACTTCGGAACATCGTTGTGGTTGTTGTTCGGAAGAGTAACAATCGCAACAGGCTCACTGTCGACCGCGAGTTCACGTCAAATGGAGAACGGTGTCTATTTGACAGGGCGCAGAGTATTTTTCTAGCCTCGACCTTAGGTCAGGCTACTGGCAGATACCAATGTCGGAGTCTGATAAAGAGAAGACCGCCTTTTCAACGCCAGATGGGTTGTACGAGTTCAATGTGATGCCTTTTGGACTCTGTAATGCGCCCGTCACCTTCGAACGCATGATAGACGGCGTATTGCGTGGTTTGAAATGGAAAACATGTCTGTGCTATCTCGATGACATAGTAGTGTTTTCATCCACGTTCTCGCAGCATCTACAACGTCTTGACGAGGTCCTCACATGCCTTGCAAAAGCCGGTCTACAGCTTAACACCAAGAAATGTACCTTTGCTAGCAAGACAATCAAGGTTCTCGGCCACCTTGTCAGCAAAGAAGGAATTCGGCCCGACCCCGAGAAGCTTGCCGCTGTCCTCGATTTTCCTCGTCCACCACGTCAAAAGGACCTGCGCAGCTTTCTTGGGTTATCTTCTTACTTCCGGCGCTTCATACGTGGTTTCGCGGAACTTGTGTCTCCGCTCCATCAACTCGCAAAGAACGTCCCCTTCATTTGGTCCGAAGATTGCGAAAGCGCTTTCACAGCATTGAAGCAAGCCCTCACGTCGGATCCGGTACTGTGCCACTTCGATTCCACCGCACCCACCATCCTTCACACCCACGCAAGTAGTCATGGTCTTGGTGCGGTACTCTTGCAGCGTGACAAAAACTCACGCGAACGCGTCGTTGCTTACGCAAGTCGTGCTCTTACCGCTCCAGAAAAGAACTACACTATCACCGAGCAGGAGTGCCTTGCTGTTGTTTGGGCAGTGCAAAGATTCCGACCATATCTTCACGGCCGTCATTTTACCGTCGTGACCGACCATAACGCCCTATGCTGGCTTTCATCGCTGAAAAACTTATCGGGTCGCCTCGGTCGCTGGGCGCTTCGCTTGCAGGAGTATGATTTCGATGTCGCCTACAGATCTGGGAAGAAGCATCAAGATACTGATGCTCTATCGCGCTGTCCTTTGCCCAGCGGAAACCACTCACCATCGATACTCCAAAACGACAGCACCTCTCCAATCGCAGCGCTAAGTTCATCACCTGCCACCCTATCCGTCCTTGTTTCACAACAACGTGTTGACCCATACTGCCGTACCATTGTTGACCGCTTGACCGGCTCTACTACTCCTCCAAACGCCAGACTCCGTCGACAACTTAAACAATTTAAGCTTGTCGATGATGCTTTATGTCGCTACATTTACCACATCGATGGCAACAAGTGTGTACCCGTCATCCCACGTTCTCTGCAACGTGAAGTTCTGGAAGCCTTTCATGATGATCCAACCGCCGCTCATCTAGGCTATCACAAGACTCACGACAAAATACGAAGTCGTTGTTTTTGGCCTGGCCTCTCTTCAGCCGTCGCTAAGTACGTCGCCTCCTGTGTCCATTGCCAACGGCGAAAACCACCGACAACTGCTCCCGCTGGCTTAATGCAACCTCTTCCTTGTCCCGCCTCGCCTTTTGAAGTCATTGGAATCGACTTGTATGGCCCTCTTCCTATATCATCCAATGGGAATCGCTGGATTGTCAAGGCCGTCGACCACCTTACCCGCTACGCAGAAACAGCTTCTATACCATCTGGGACTGCCACTGAGATCGCCGATTCCTTTCTTCGCCACATCTTTTTGCGTCATGGAGCTCCACGCATTCTCCTCAGTGATCGTGGCAAAGTGTTCCTATCTTCCATTGTCGAGCAAGTTTTGCGTGCCTCGAACACTGTTCACAAGACCACTTCTAGCTACCACCCGCAGACCAACGGATTGACTGAGCGGTTTCATCGGACCCTATCGGACATGATCGCCATGTACATTCACCTCAACCACACGAACTGGGATGCAATTCTACCCTTCGTGACATTCGCCTATAATACGGCTGCTCAACGCACTACCGGCTTTTCTCCATTTTTTCTCGTCCATGTTCGCTCGCCGAGTTTCGCTCTGGATGTCTCTTTCCTTTCGGCCGCTGCACCCTCGACGGCTCCTTTCTCTGAAGAATTCCTATCTCGTCTCGCACACTGCCGTCACCAGGCCCGTGTTAACACCGGCCTCTCTCAAGACACTCGAAAATCTCGCTACGACTCGTCTCGCCGTGTTGCGAGTTTTTCCCCTGGTGACGAAGTTCTTCTATGGACCCCACTACGCGTCCCCGGCCTATGCGACAAATTCATCAGTCGCTTCATTGGGCCGTACACGGTGGTCGAACAGACATCTCCTGTCAATTACCGCGTTTCTCCTCTTAGCGCTAGTCCTGATCATCGTTGCCGAGGGACAGAGATAGTGCACGTACCAGGCGGCCGCTTTCACCGCGCGGGGGAATTAGTGCGAGCGCGACAAGCGAATGACTCTTTATTCTTTTTGATATCATCACCTGTACATCTTCATCTGAAAATATCATCACCAGCGTGATTTAGCTCGAGCCTGGCTAAATAAACCAGTTCCTCACAATATATATATATATATATATATATATATATATATATATATATATATTATATATATATATATATATATATATATATATATATATATAGATATATATATATAATAATATAATAATACTAACACACTTATTTTCATTTCGAGTACTTTTTAGTATTATTTATTTTTATATATTTTCATCCTTTACAAGAATACCCATTTATTTATTTTCAGTATGACTGGTTGTACATTTTTCTGCAAGAGAGGGCAGGTGGAGGGAGGGGGAGAGGGCACTATTAGCTTTCCACCGTGGCACATTATATTCCGAAAGCTGGAGCGGGGTCGTATGCCTGTTGTGTGTGTGTGTGTGGCCCGATGCCACGGGCCAGCCGCCGAACCACGTGAACTTATCTCGATCCATGTGTGGGATGCGAGTAGCGGAAATTTTAACAATAGAACTTGCCACATAAAAAGAACTGTTTATTTGCTTTTGAGTTAGGTCTAAAGGTGATTTTCAACAGGACCACCACATGGTTTAAATTGTATCACAGTATGGACAAAAATGTCAATTTTGTGAAATTTCTGATTTCTTTCTCATAAAATTTACCAACTTGAAATGTCTAAGTATATTTTTTCCACAAAATATACCTTCTGTTGAGTAAGTATTATTTGCTCAGATATTCATACAAAGTGCAGCATTGCAGTACAAAAAAAAAAAGGCAAACTTAATACAATTTCGCTAAATTTTTGGAGGTGTATGTGGTAGAAAAATTGCATTAGTATTACTGTGCTTCAAACACATTACAAAAGCACTTTTATTTAACATATAGACTAAATTTGGTTTAGAAAGAAGAAAATGGTACTTTTAAAATAAAGTTTTCCCAAACATCACCCAGACGACATTTTAGAAAGTTCAGAAGGCACCCACGTGACCAAGAATTTTTTTCTCTTTGAAATATTCCAGTGGTTCACATTTTTCAATGCAGCAAATGAGCACAATTTTTTTCAAATACATATGAGACTGTCACCAAAATTGCTGAGAGGTTTGGCATGGAATGACCCAACTGTTACACTGTTACTTTTTAATAAGTAACTGTAACGTAATGTACAGTTATAGTTACTCTTGTTTTGGAAAAATATTTAACTGCAAAACCTTTTAAAGGTTGTTGTTAAGCACTCTTTACTTTTTTGAATTTTCTTCTTCACCATGTTCTCTCAATTTTCAGCTTTTCCCAGTAGGGCTCCCTTTGAAATTTAGAAAAGGTCGCTAAGAGGAATATCGATGATGTAGAAGACCAAGTTTGGAGTTTACTTGAAAAATGCCTGTCGTAAATCAGTCATGTTGCTGCTGAAAAGCTTGCTTTACATGTTTTCTCAAAGAGGTTCAATGCCACTATCTGTGTGACTGGGCATTGGATTGTTACACTGGGGCCCTTGGTATAACTTTCGTCTCGAAGCCTTAAAGAGTTGGGAATAGCGTCTATTGTTTCAAGCTTCCAAACGATGTGCATTGTATGAGAGATGAAGCTTGTCGAACATGTAGCGTCATCAAAACTCTTCACAGAATGTGCGAAAGTGCAAACGTAAATAGAGATGCAAGCAGCAATATAAAACTGTTCAGAATGAACAAAATTACAGCTTGCTGTACAGTCACTGGAGTTGGCTACGGGCATTAAATGTACTGTTAGGAAAAAAATGTGTATGTACAAGATAATGTGCATTCATGTTGATTTTCTTCACTCCCTATGAATTTCACTTGAAATTAAACACTGCAGACCGAGCCTTACACTACAACCTTTACAGTGCAGCTGCCATTTTCAGCTTGTACATCTGAGTTCTTACTAATAAATTCATTAGCTTTTCTTTTGGGGCAAACCATTTGTGTTTAGACTCTTGCTCATGGGTGTATGCTTGGAAGCCTGAAATGATCCGCAGTTACGAATTCCGGCAAACATGACAACACGTTGTAATCGTGCATGACCTGTTTCTGTGTTGCAGGAAGTTCCAAGACCAAGGGTGCCAATAATTCATTTTAACGATGCCACACCGCCATTGGTTATATGCATGAAATTGGTAAGCATTTACTAGCCAGGTAGTTTTTTTTCACAAGCTCATTGCATTGGTTTTCTTTTCAGGACCTGACCAATGGCTCTTTCGAGGCTAACCTATCTTCATTAAACCTTATCGAAGGCGTTGACTACGTTCATTTTTCATAGCAGCTTGAACTGCGACAGCCACTTGGCTGTCGACTATGTAAATAAATGTTTTATATAAACGAGAAAAGAAGAACGTAGAATATTTTACTTTCATTAATCTCATGTACATCCACACGTTTTTCTTTTTAGCAAAAACCTCATTCACTTGACTAGGTTGACATTAGGCGTGTTATGTTATGCTCAAGTTAAACTAGTCACTGCTTGTGTCGTTCGGGTTTAGACGAAATGCCGCTTTTAATGATGCTGTTTGCCACTGCATTATTTTTCAAAGTAAAAAGTTTATTGTAAGATACCATAATCAGACAATTTTTTTTTAATAGTGAACACACTAAATTGCTACAAATGAGAATTCAAAATCTAGATGCGAGCCGACAGATGGAAACAACGTAATGGGATAATCAGGGTGCCTCAGACTGGCTGGCCGACGTTTCGATAGAAGGACCTATAGCGCCTTTGAAGAAGATAGGTCCCCCTATAAAAACGTCGGCCAGCCAGTGTGAGGCACTTCCACTGTCAACCCTCATTATCCCACAACAAATATGAGAGGCATTCTTGTCAATAAAGCGCCTATGTCAAGTTAGAAACACAATCACCATGTTGCCAACTGGCTAACACACATACACATACACACCGTCTGTACTGTCACGCCAAAATAAGCGAAGACGCGCAACCCAAATTTCTACACAATGATCAAACAACAGAAACAAATCCAATCCGATCCGCAAGCCAAAAAGGCGTAGTTTCGGAAACGCTGCCCGCCGATGCCGCCAGAAAGTAACAGCGGATCCATGTTCAGAACATGTTGAGTGATATGCTCAAATGTAAAGAAACCAATTCGCGAATCGGCGCGGGCATTTGCTAGTCCGTCTTCCGGAGGAACGACTCTGCATCCCATAAGACCCCGAAAAGAAAGAACAGCCCGCGATGGCTGCAGCACCGCCGGCAGCCGAGCGTCAGTTCGCCTGGTGCGCGACGTACGCCAAGCGCGAGTTTAAAGTGCAGCGCGCAATCCGCATCCCCAACGAGCTTCCGCTGAAGGAGATCGTCTTCCGAGTGATGCAGGAAAACAAGCTGCCCTGCTACGTCGAAGACGGTGAGCCCGTTCCCACTGATGCAGCGCTGTGTTCGGTGAACTGCACGCGCGCTTACCTTGCCCTCAATGCACAGTACTAACGGTGTAGCGGCTCTGGCGCAGATTTGACGAAGAGCCTTGAAGACTTTGTCTCTCGGGAGACCGAGCTCTTTTACGACGACGCCGCGACGGAAGCGATCGAGAAGTTCCGCAAGAACGGAGACGTGGCGACTTTGGCGGAGCGCTGGGCGCGTGCCTTCCGGGAGGTGGGTGGTTCATCTTATACTGCGGTCACCATAAGTACAGGTTGTCGGACGAACGTATAGTACTGTAGCCAATCCAAAGACTCTGGCTCAGATTACAGTCTCGTAAGAAACTTGTGCTAGATCTTGGTTTCCCTGCAGAAGCAGCGGCTAGCGCATCTATAGACAACAGGCTAACCTCTTTTTTTTTTTTTTTCTTTGCGACTCGGTGCCTTTAGTCACGGTAAAGCAGAAAGATATGTGCTCCACGGTACCAGTATAAAAGTTTAGGAAATTAATTTACGGTGTAAGTGCATTGACTTCAAAGAAACTGTCAGATAGGTTTCCAAGTTTCCAAGCTTATACTAACTTGCTTGCACTAACAAACTCGTTTGACGTGTTGTCCCTGCGAACTTTCTAGATCACCCACACAGACTAATTAAGACCGGCGACATAATAAGGAGAGTAGCATGGGTAGGTGACAAAAAAATAACCATAAAGCAAAGTAAAACTGTTTTTCTCCATGTTGAACAACTTCCATGTATGTTCTAAATGTCAAGCCTATTGCTCAGAACTTTCTTAACCGAGCACATTTCTCGAGTATGCGCCATGTGGAGAAGTTACAGAGTTTATTTGTAAACAAATGTTCACTGGTCTTTGCAAACTCTATTTGGCGGTTCACAAAGTTATCTACATGGCTTAAAATTTCAAGAAACGGTGCGCAGAAAAGATGGACCAGGTGAAGAAACACACCCGACAAACGCCATGTCCTGCTCGCTGCTTTGCCCAGTCGGTCACCTCTATTTGCTCTACTTCATAGTTTCAAGTCGGTCAGCACCAACTAACCCAACTCTATTTCATTGTCTAAATGGCACAGCTTACGCTTTCCTTGGGCCACAGGAACACCTGTGCTACGCGAGTCCTGAAGAGGAGACGCCAGACAGCAAGTTCCCCACGATGTACCACACGCTCATACACTCGCCGGCACTGGACACCATGCTCAACCTGGAGCACAGCTATGCACTGGCTGTCGGCGACATGGTGCGAGAACGGGATCAAACCCTGAATAACTTGCAGAAGAGGTAATAATCCTTCTCCGATTGAAGAGTTTTCCTAATGTGGCAAATGCTGAAAAACAGCTGTTACATACCTAAGCACGCATAACTCAGGAAAATGCAATTTCTTCAGCATGGATGTATATTATATGTATAATAACATTCTGCATGGTCTCCAGTTATCAAATGTAAGGCACTGTGTAACAGATTCTGTGTGTCAATGCAGCCTATTTTTTGTACTTATATGTCACCTATTTTTGCTTTTATGCTATTCCTGTGTTTCTGTTTTTATGCTGCTCCTTGTATTGTGATAATTATTATTCAATGTAGCACTGTTTGCTGAACTTTTTTCGCGTAGCGAAGCCACGTCAGGCCAAAGGGCCCTTAGCTTCGCTTCGTTTTTTTGTATTCTCTCCAGAAATAAAATCTGTTCTTTACAAAGATTAGAGTTCGAGAATAAATGTGGTCTGTTAGTTCATGCTTTTCTGGAACTGCCAGCTTTTTACCTTACATCGGCATTTGCGGTGGAATGATGTTATGTTCTGACAGAAATTTGGTGTAGTGGCCCCGGTTTGAACACGATTTATTTAGCTAGAATGGACAAGGAAATGAATTTGAACCTTAACAGACTTTGATTCGGAGTGTTTCGCATTGTTGATGTTTTTTTGGTGTTTGTCAAGCCGGATGATCTAGAAAAAATAGCAGAAGTTCTGAAAAATTTTAGATAACAATAGCTGGTGGTTGGATTTCACTACTGGATTGTTTCATAATGACAAACTACAGTTTTTGAATGTAAAAATAGCTGCCGCAGTGGGACGCGTCTGCTGGTCATAGTCCATGAATGAAAAAAACAATACATAACTATGATTCAGCACATTTTGAGGTCGTAAAGAGGGGCGCAGCATTCTCGCGTCTGGAGGCAGCCCTGACAAAGCCACACCCCACAAAAAATCAACGAAAGCTTCAGCTGACAAATTAGCTGGTTTGCAAACTAGACCACTTTGCTGCAGTGGTCTAGTGGCTAAGGTACTCGGCTGCTGACCAGCAGGTCGCGGGATCGAATCCCGGCTGCATTTTCGATGGAGACAGAAATGTTGTAGGCCCGTGCGCTCAGATTTAGGTGCACGTTGAAGAACCCCAGGTGGTCGAAATTTCCGGAGCTCTCCACTACGGCGTCTCTAGTAATTATATGGTGGTTTTGGGACGTTAAACCCCACATATCAATCATCAAATTAGCAGGTTAAAAAAATGTATGATACGAAAAACACGTGCTGTGCAGATCAGCATACAAGCTGATCAGTTATGTACGCGACAACTTTCAGAACAAAATGACAACAGAAAGAAAAAGATAGCGTCAATACCATATGCGCAATGAACGGAGACGATAGGTACGGGCCACAAGTAGATTTTGTGGCGCCCGACAAGGTTGGTAAAATATGTGCAGGATTAAAGCGAATTAATGTTCCCACAGCAGCAAGAGCTAAAGCCTGTAGGTGCACAATAAATTATAAAACAAAGTTTGTTAAATATAAATTATCCACTGTCCATTATTTGCTCCTGTCGTGTGCTTATACATCGGCCAGATGGGTTGGTGTCGGAACACCAGGCTCATGGAGCATAAGAGGCCATTAGAGATGAATAACCATTCCGACATAAAAGGATACTTCTTAATGTGGCTCCTTCCGACTGTTCTATGGCACCACTGTGGTTTTCCATGGTGGGAACCAAGTAGCCAGGGATATTTCGGAAATATTTAACACCGGCATAAAAAGGAAAAAAAAAAGACAGCTGCATTAAACAATGATTGGGTGCATTGAATCACCTGGAAGCCACCCTCCTGGAAGAGGTTTAATTGAAGATGTAGTGTTTGCATTTCGAGTGTATACCTGTGAACACCTTCGCTACAGGGGAAGGTAAGTTGGATGTGGGGGGAACTTGTGTGTCTCGTTCCTTTCGGAGCCACCGGTGCTCGGTGCTTCCCCTCGCAAGCACTGCTCTCAGATGTGTCAAATAAATTTGCACTCCTCCGGCTAGTACAGTGTGCCTGATAACCATTATGGTTTTTGGTATGCGAGCCTTAAGAATTCTGTCAATTTTTTTTATCTAATTGAAAGACATCCACCAGGACTGAAAACCAAAAGATGATAGAATTTGATCCTAACTTCAAGGCACCTAATTTGAGCTTGCATTTATAACCGCACCATTCCTTTTATCCCAAACAAAGGCAAACGCACGAAATGGAACGCTGTGTGCAACAAGTTGGGCTTGGCCTCACTGATCGCGACATCAATGACATTGCGGCAAGGCACTTCGAAGAAACCCAAGTAAGTCAACTTTACACATCGTACATGTCGTAGTTAGCAAAAACTAATAACAAAGTTTAGTGCGGAAGAAGTTATGTCTTATGAGTGATTTCACAATCATGGTGCCTAATGACACAATAACTTGGTACGTGTTGACTGCGATCAGATCTCCAACTACGGGGACATTGTGGGATTAAATCGAAGCTGCCAATAGTTACTCAAAATGGGCACAGGTGTCGTTTAGGCCACGATTCATTCATTCATTAGTGTGTAGCTGTGAACTGCGAAGGAGAAAGCATTTGTGCCATGCAAATCCCATGAAACCCTTTAAGCGGTATAAAACTGTGTACCCTGTTCAGGACAGTGAGTAGTGGGTGGTGTAGACTGAAGTACAACGCCACTAAAAGTTTTGAGTACTTCTTGCTAACATATTATCAATTGCACATCTTCATCTCGTAGGGGGTATAAAATTTGATGTAATTTTGATGCTGCTCACTGTTAATCACTGTTAACCGCCCCGTGCAAGGGGTGGTTTATTTAAAAAGCATAGTGCCATATATTTCTAGACTAGTATTGGTTGACTCCTTTGAACAGACTAGTCAATGCATAAATATTGTTTACACATCCACTTGCAGTTAGCGAGCCAGCAATATGAAAGGTGCTTATTTGAGTGTTCCCTTTAATAATGGCTCATACTGTAAATCAAGAAGAATGATATTCACACCATGTGGCACTACGTTTCACAAACACCTTTTCAAACAGAAAAATGAAGTTCCAACACAAATGCCTCGCTCTTTTTTTTGGGGGGGGGGGGGAGGAGTAGTAGAGTACTCAACACGAATTTAGAATGATGACATAATTTTTTTTTCTGTTTGATCTGCGTACACTCTGAAAAAACATTACCATACCACCCCTTGGGGAGTGTCCTGTCTCCGACAAAAATTGTCATCTATCTTGCATGCTAAAAAAAAAGGGGCATACTTCATACTTGGGGCGTCTTTCGTTCAACAACAATAACTCACATCTTTTTTTTGTTCTAACAGAAAAAAGAACAAGCTCTGAAATTCTCACTTTATTAATTTGCCATCTAGCTCACGTGCCTTTTTTGGCACGAGTGCCACATTACCAGCACTTCATGGTCACAGATGACGTGTGCTATCGACTTGACATAGAATTGTTAATAGCAAAGCAGCGAGCACCGAGTTGTAAAAGAACCTAAAGCAAGCCAGATGAAGATTATGGTTATGGGACAAAGAAAGACTCTTCAAAAAGTGCAAACACTCTTTTCGAGTCTTAATAGCTGGAACGACTGGGGGTGGGAGTGAGTAGGACAGGCTACACAAACGTTGCCACGTTTACAAAGCAGCTTTATTACTTCAGTATCCTTTTTTTTTTTTTTTACCTAGAGAGTGTCTGACCAGTGGGGCAGCCGCATAGACTCGCTGAAGGAGACCCAGAAGAAAGAGTTTCACGAGTGGGTTCGCACGGTCTACGAGGACTACATCGTCTCCAAGGGAGGCCGTGGGTTTGGGTGAGGCTGCGAAAAACTTTCCTTAAAGCTCTCTAGAAACTGCAGTTTCCGTTTACAAATAACAGAATGGTAACTGCTTATGTGTAAAATGTGCAAAAAGACCGTCAACGAAGATGTGAGTGAAGAGCAAAATAGAAAGTAAAGTATTGAGCTGTGCACTCTTTGTGCCATTAATTAAGGTGACGGATACATCGATATAAAAACGTTAAAGTTAAGTTATACACTACAAGAAAGTGCGTTCATTATAGTTTTTTGTAGATATACAGTAATAACTCAAAAGTTTGTTACATCACGCTATCATTTGTATCACCAGACATATATGTTACGGTCATTCACGAGGCTGACAGGGTACGAAACCCAGGAAGGTGTAGAGAATGAGTTTTTTTAACTGTGGCAAACGAACTTGTGGACAACATTTTTACTTTTCCTTTAACCTTACACAGGGGACTGGGCTTTATAATTATGTTTACCGTAATCAGTATAACTCAAGAATTACTGTTTTAACTGCAGTGTATAAACCATAAGAAGATGTGGAACAAAAAGAAGAAATAACAATGCTTGCATCTGTATGTATAACTGAATTGAATATAATTCTGTTGACCATAGTAAATATGAGAAAATGTTGAATTTTTGTGCTGCTTATTTCGTAGGCAGCAAAGCCGTTCAATAGTGCATTGTTTGGACATGCAAATACTGGCCCTACATCTGAATACCAGGTCTCATGATCTAACAGCGCGTGGTGCAATTCGATGTGCACCAGCGGATATGTTTGTTTTAAGTTCTAGGTGCAAGTTAGCTGAAGTATCATGTGTGCGCATGTATCCATATGCATGTCGGTATGTAGGTATGTGCATATGCATGCATTCTGTGTGTACAGACACAACAGGCATATTTTGTATACTACGAGACTAGGGCAATTTGTTCGTTGCAGGGAACGCATGCGAGCTGCATCAAAGTCGTTGGCGGGGCACGATGTGCAGAATTGGACGCCGCCTCCTCCTCGGCCCTCGGAGAGTTTTACGATTCACTTGGGTAAGCTGCCGCCAAGCTTATCTGTGAACATCACATCTCATTTCACGACCCAGAATTGTGATTATGACGCAAAGTTTTCATTTGACAAATCATCACAATTCTGAGGACAGCCATTGAGACTGAAATGTGCCGCGTCATCTTGTCTGCACATGCAAAGCGTCGGTGAAAGACGGAACAACTGAAACACTCTAGTAGATTGTGATTCATACATTGGAAAGTAGCGACTCAGTGACTACGGCATTCTGCTGCCCTTCCAATACATTAAATTCAAGCCAGATATCTCTGAGCCCTGATATTTATTCTACGTATGGCTCCTAGCACTTTCATTGCTGTATCTGTTGCGGCTATTTTACAGGCTCTCAACTGAAGGTTATGCACAACCTGAGACTGCTGTCTGCAAACATCCTTGACCTCTGCCGGCATGTCACATACGGCATGGGGTGAGTTGCAACATTGTTAGTTATATGGAGTGCACTCCTAGCTTCACTAAGTTGCCTGCATGTAATAAGTATAAAATTCGCGCTCTTAAAGCTTCTACCTGACCAAGTCACATACTGTCAATACTGTACTGCTAAGTGGCATTATAAGCAACTCGTGCTTTATATTCTTCAGAGTTTAGATTCTAGCACAATAATTCATGTTGCGTTCGTTGCAAGCATGCAACAAACAGTCGTGCGTGCTAACACGCAACAGATTGCAAGTGTCTTAGAAGGGTACCAGTATGGCTGATCTGGTAGGAACTAGTGACCAACAGTTACCTCTGCTTGTGCTTGATTCCCAGTCCTCATTCTATATTCTGTAACTGTAATGTTTATGTTAATAGGTTCATGTACTCATTCCTTATTTCACAACTGTAATGTCCATATTTGTAAGTACTCATTTTATATTCTGCAACAGTAATATTCATAAGTACTCATTCTATATCTTGCAAATGTAATTTTCATATCCTGCTGCTGTATTATCCATAATAATACTCACTTCATATTCTGCAACCATAATCCTTGTATTCATAAATACTCATTCCATATTCTGAAACTGCAATATCCGTATTACCAAGTACTCATTCCATATTCTAAAACCGTAATATTTATATTCATAAGTGCCGTTTCCATGCTTTGCAACTGTATTATTCATATTCGTATAACATTCCTCTCAACAGAACTATAGACATTCATAATTCTTTATTTACTAAACAAGTGCCATCACGTTCTACATCACATACGCAGGGTTCCGGCACCACAGAGGTTGCAGATGGCCATGTCACTATACTCCAACAGCCTCTCTGGCATTGTCCTGCTGGTCGACAACCGCATCAATTCTTACGTTGGCATCAAGAGAGGTATTCGTTATTCCGTCTCATCTCATTTTTTACGTTTACATTTTTTTATTGCATTTAAGTGTTACACTTGCACCGAAAGATGTACCACCCCCTCATTATTTCACCCCGACATGTTTCCTTGTTGCAAACGTGTCTTCATGGAAAGCGTCATGAAACAGGAATATAGGATAAGGACTAGGAATCGAGTTATATCGGCTGCGGCGGCTGTGTTTTTGATGGAGGCGAAAATGCTATAGGCCCGTGTGCTCAGATTTGGGTGCACATTAAAGAACCCCAGATAGTCGAAACTTTTGGAGCCCTCTGCTAAGGTGTCTCTCATAATCATACGGTGGTTTTGGGACGTTAAACCACAAATATTAATCAATATCAGGAATCGAGTATTAATCAATATCAGGAATCGAGTTATAGAAAATATTATATATGTTTTTCAATTTGTAAAAGGATGATATGTGGCAGCTAGTCTAATTAATATTGAAAACACTTTTTGAGATACTATAAGTTTATTCCTAAACAATCCTCATAAAACTGTATCTGGTGACGTTACCACAATGCCATGAATAGCAGTAAGAAGAGCCATGACATAGTAGCTCATAAGAAACGAAATGCCAAGTAAAGTGCCAGTGCATGACAATATCATAAGTCATGGCACACCTGCCCATTTGATAACAACAAGGACTGGTTTGTAGCAGCAAACGTTACAAGTCATTTAGGATGCTTTGAAATGTCACATTTTTTTAAGGGTTCTACGGGCCTGAACATATTTAGAAACCTTGGTATAATTAAAAACAAATTACTTGCTATAACAAAGCAAATGGAGAGTAACTTTGCTCTGAATGCAGTGTTCTGAATATATGTTCAATTTGTAATAAATTTTCCTATATACCGAACCTATTTTCATGCCAGATATGACTTGCAATAAAGTTTGACTACTAATAAGCAATCTAAAGAGTTGTAAGATTTCGTACTTCTGGTTTATGGTGTCCAATGAGTTTCACAGCACTCCACAGTTCTAATGGCCATGCAATGGCACTGCCTTTCTAGACTTTGCAGCCATTTGCCACGAATCAACAGAGCTGCACTTTCCGGACTTGGACGAACAGCTGGAGACCATCCGAGCCAAAGCCCGCGAGGCGAGCGAGGTCCGGGCCGCGGCCAGTCTGTCCGGGTCCGATGGCAGTTCAAGCCATTCCAGCCGTCGTTCGAGCTTTTCAGGACAGGACTCATCGGTGAGCCTTGCCGTTTATTTTCATTTACACTCAAACCTCGTTATAACAGACTTTCACCTAACACGAAAATAAGTTTGTTATATCCAAAAATTTGTTATAAAGGTTTATTCCTAACACTACATCTATTGCAAGACCATTTTTAATTTACTTCGTTATAAGAACCAGCCTCGAAATTTTATTATACCCAGATTTGTTATACGATTTGAGTACTTTGAAGCTTTTTAAACAACATCGGTGTGGCCACTTTTGGTTGCTGCAGTTAAAGGTCGATACAGCTAAGCTTTAACATTATGCGAGTTCATGTCTGCAGAACACCATCTATTTACTTATGGCCCTGATATAACAAAGCGTACACTTGCCTGCAATTTCAATATAAAGAAGCTTCACTGGTATAACAAAGGGAAGGTTAGCAACCCGGCACTACAGCGGGTGCATTGCTAAAATAGTAAATGGTATAACTACGTGCAATGCTATACTTTGAATAAAAGGTCCAATTTCTATGTAAGAAAATAAATTGCCAATTCTACTGACTTTCTTACATCAAGGTTATCTGGGCCGCAGCATCACAGGCATGTCGGCAAATGCTCGACAAATGCAGCTAATTGCTAGTGACAAGAATTCGTAACTGAGACGCTTTACTCTTAACTCTAACAAAATGAGGCCACATTGCAGCGATACAAAGCGAGAACATCTGGTGCCCTTCATTATGACATCTCTCGTAATAATATGGTGGTTTTGGGACGTTAAACACCACATATTATATTATATATATATATATGTACACAAAGCGAGCATATTAAAATTTTGTGTTTACTTAAGTAAACTGTAAAAATAGGCGCTCTAGGATTCGGGTCAACTCTTCAGCAAGATGTATCTGTATCCTCGTAAATTAAGATGAAAGGGAAGACAACCTGTTGCAACTGGAAGCCTGACAACTTTTGCATGGTGCGTGGAATCCTCTGCAAAATGAGAGAGTACTTAGTACTAAATTTATAGCCACGACCTTTAGCCGCCTACACAATTTTATACTACATCTAGCATCGCTGGCAAAATTGACAAATTTAAACCTTACACATTATTGTCTCTCTGATCAAGCTGAAAAAGAAACAAAAAAAAATGAACACTCAGGTCAGTATTTCTTTTTCTTGGCTTTAAGAGTTAGTAAACAAGGTAAAGAAAGTAGCTTCCTTAGCATGATGTGCTATGTGTTACAAAAGGACATGCATGAAGATTAAGGAGCCCAGAAGCACACAAGTGCAAATATGCGTTTTACGTGTGTACTTGTTGTATAAGTGCATGTCTTTCCTTGTATTTGAATATTTGCTTTTATAGTAAGTTGATGCAACTTGTTGGTGCGACATCTTAGTCTTCAGGAGGTTATAATGTCACGGGCTAAGTAGATGCCTGAGGATGACGACGACGAAGTGCTGAACGGGAACGTGCTCGGACAGCAGCAGCGTCGTACGCATTAGCTCACCAGTATATTCGCCGGTACGAATTTGCTCACCAGTGTATACTTATTCCCCGTAACATCATTGGTGGAGGTGCTGGGTACCACTCGCTATACAGCCCAACGAGCTGGATCTTCGCAGCGGACGGCGCATTGCAGCTACCACGATGACTGACCAGGCTACTCAATGTCAACAAGATCCGTCAGCCCCACAGCCGATCGTTGTGGTGCAACCTCGTGACCCAGGTCCATTCAACGGCACAAGTGGCATAGACGTCGATGACTGGCTGGTTCAATATGAGCGCGTCAGCAGCAGCAATCATTGGGGTCCGACGCTTATGTTGGCGAACATCATCTTCTACTTGCATGGCATGGCAAAACTCTGGTACGAGACACATCAAGAAGAGTTGACTAGCTGGGACGTCTGTAAGCAGAAATTGCGCTATCTATTTGGGAAACCCATCGGACGTCAAGTGGCCGCAAAGAAAGAGCTTGCGACTCGTGCCCAGACATCCACAGAGCCGTACATCGCGTACATCCAGGACGTGTTGGCTTTGTGCCGCAAGGTCGACAAGGACATGCTCGACGAGGACAAAGTCGGACACATCCTGAAAGGGATTGCAGATGACGCCTTCAATTTTCTCCTGTGCAAGGACTGCTCGACGGTGGAGTCGGTCATCGAAGCATGTCGTCGCTTCGAACAGGCAAAAAGTAGGCGCATAGTTCACCGATTTGACCGCCTTCCCAACACGGCGGCTACGTCCTCTTGCGAAGATTTGCCTACACTACACCAATCCACCAGTCCTAGCACACTTCGACCCATCTGCCGCCACGGAGCTTCGTACTGACGCCAGTGGCCACGGCATAGGCGCAGTGCTCGCGCAGCGGCAACAAGGCATGCACCGCGTCGTCGCGTATGCAAGCCGACTGTTGTCGCGCTCGGAACAAAATTATTCCATCACAGAACGCGAGTGCTTAGCTCTCGTCTGGGCTATTGCGAAATTCCGACCGTACCTGTATGGCCGACCATTCTCAGTTATTACCGACCACCATGCGCTTTGCTGGCTCTCCTCACTCAAGGACCCTACGGGACGCCTTGGTCGCTGGGCGCTGCGCTTACAAGAGTACACTTTTTCCGTATCCTATAAATCCGGACAACTTCACAAGGATGCTGACTGCTTGTCCCGTTACCCAGTCGATCCTCCTGACACGAGGGAAGATGAGCAAGAGGCCCTCGTTCTTTCAATTACCGACTTCACCGACGTAGCTGCTGAACAACGCCGCGACCCCTCTTTGCGTGCTATTATCAATGGTCTGCACTCTCCCCACCCTGACCACTCCTTACAACTGTTCGTTCTTCACAACGACATCTTTCACCGCTACAACACCCGCCCTGATGGTGCTGAGCTTTTACTCGTTGTTCCTGTGCATCTTCGCTCAGACGTTTTGGCCCAGCTGCATGATGCCCCCTCCGCTGGACACCTAGGGGTGTAACGCACGTATGACCGCATTCGCCGCCGATTCTTTTGGCCTGGCCTCTACCGTTCTGTGCGACAGTACGTTGCGGCATGCGACCTCTGCCAGCGCCGCAAGACACCTGCTCTGAGACCTGCTGGTACCTTCCAGCCCATTGAAGTACCAGAAGAGCCATTTTCCCGAGTCGGCCTCGATCTTCTAGGACCCTTTCCCGTGTCGGCCACCGGTAATAAGTGGATTGCTATTGCTACCGACTACGCAACGCGGTATGCCGTTACACGCGCCCTCCCCACCAGCTGCGCTACTGATGTAGCCGATTTCCTTCTTCATGACATCATTCTGCGTCATGGTGCCCCTCGTCAGTTGATCACCGACCGCGGCAGCTGTTTTCTATCTAAAGTAGTCGACGAGCCCCTGCGATCCTGCTCTACCCACCACAAGTTCACTACAGCGTACCATCCGCAAACCAACGGCCTCACGGAACGCCTCAACCGTACCTTGACGAATATGTTAGCGATGTACGTCTCCAAGGATCACAAAGATTGGGACATCCACTTACCTTTCGTTACCTTCGCATACAATAGTTCACGTCATGATACATGGACACCATGCTCCAATCTGACGCCCCCTCATCGACTGCTTATGCTCGTGATGCCCTGGCCCGAGCTGACATCGCCCGCCAATTCACCCGGGATCGTTTATGTGCCTCGCAGCTTAACCAAAAAAAAGCTTACGATCGCCGGCACCGCGATGTACAGTACTCTCCGGGATCACTCGTCTTGCTGTGGTTACCATCACGTCGTGTTGGTCTGAGCGAAAAACTAATGTCCCGTTACGTTGGCCCCTACCGCGTCATACGCAAGGTCACCACCGTGACCTATGAGATAGCTTCACTCCATACCACGTCAGTACCAGCTTCAGTCCTGACCGATATAGTGCACGTCTCACGGCTTAAGCCACACTTCTCACGCCACGAGAATTGATCGCACCGGGACGGTGCTTCTGCCGCCGGCGGGTAATGTCACGGGCTAAGTAGATGCCTGAGGATGACGACGACGAAGTGCTGAACGGGAACGTGCTCGGACGGCAGCAGCGTCGTACGCATTAGCTTGCCAGTATATTCGCCAGTACGAATTTGCTCACCAGTGTATACATGCCTATAACCCAATATAACCCAACAATATTTATAACCCCAATTTTTTTTTCGTTCTGTGTACTGATGCACCAAGCATTCATTAATCTGTGCAGGCTCAGGGGGCAAGCCCAACGTTGCAGACGGGCGATTTTTACGTCACGCGCCATTCGAACCTGTCCGAGGCGCATGTCGTGTTCCATGTCGTCAGCGACGACTCGTTGCGGCTGCCGGACGTCAGCTCGCGCCACCCCATTATCTTGGGATTGCGCAATGTGCTTCGGGTGGCGCACGAGCGTGACATCTGCAACGTGACTCTGCCACTGCTGCTCGTCCACGAACTGTCTGAAGTAAGTGTGCGAACGTTTACTTTAGACGACGTTGGTCGTGACTCATAACCACAATCTGGTTTTTCTTAACGTTGGTCTCCGCGATTGCCAGAGCTATCTTGGAGGCCTCGGTTTTGCCTAGCGTTGTACACCGAGAAAGTGGACATGCATTTATTCCCGTTCGCAGTATGTGCAAATGGAAGACAACCGTCAGCAGAACATTCTAGGACGTGTGATACATGAAAACAGTTCGACGCACAAAAAATGAGAGATGTCTATAAGAAAAATGCAACTGCAAAGGCGGAAATCGTCGAGGCCATCTGACAAAGCGAGCTTCGTACCACTGATCGTGAGATACATTGCTCGCGTGTGTACTTCATCGCTTTGACCTTGTGTGTATGCCTAAATTTAATGCAGTTGCTACACTCAGACCTCAATAATGTAAATGAAGAATTCTCTTGCAATATAGTGTTAGGAAAATACCTTTATAACGAATTCTCAAATATAACATACTTAATTTTGTGCAAGATGTATCTTCATGATAAGGAGATTTGAGTACCATCACAATGGGTCATAGAATGAGGAGGCTCGAAAGCTCTTATAGTTGGTCAAGACGGTAAAGGTTCACGATTATGAAAATGCGCAACAAAAGGACACACAACACTGACAATAGGGAGTTTTTAAATAGCGTAGGCCAAGCTTCGCATTCGCCGCAACTGCAGATGAGTTACTCTATGCCAACCTCTTGTGGGCGACCATAATGAATGTCAACTTAGCGTGCGCTATTTAAAAACTCTCTAATGAGGAAGACACCAGCACTTGTCTCTGTGTTTTCTTCATTGCGGGCATTTTTGTGCCCTTCTGTTGCACCGTTTCACAATCAGGGACTCGAAAGGTTTGATGTCGTAGTGAAAAATGCCACATGGTTTAACTTGTGCTGTGTTTTTGTCTCGCACGACTGTTCGATCATGTGCGATGTATGCCCAGGAAATGACGATACCTTGGTGCTTGAAGCGAGCCGAGCTGGTGTTCAAGTGTATAAAGGGATTCATGATTGAGATGGCTTCGCTGGTTGGCGAGGAGACGCGAACAGTCCAGTTCCTCGTGCCCCAGGTAACACGCAGAGCAGTCGCCCACATTTCTAGCTATCATGCATGTGTGGCAGTTTTTTCTGTGTATCTTTGACATACAATTATATTAGGTTCAAAAAAGGTGAGGAAAAGTGTATGCCCACAAAGCACACGACCATGAAGCAATTTTTTTGTAACTTCGTTCCATAACATGGCGCTGAGAAACAAAAAAAAGTGGCCGCTGCACTCAGTAGTTGGTTTTCGCGGACTGTGCCTCTCCAGTACTTTATATTACATTTTAAGTGGTCACAAAACTACCCATAGGTTGAAATTTAGTTGTGGTGTTGTAGTTGTGCACGATTATTCAATAACATGCAGCTGTGTGAACTCTTCTAAAGAGTGCCATAATAGCGGAGCTACTCGCTTAGCCCTATCCTTTGCTAAGCTTCGCTCATTAGCTCTTCCCTTCTCGTGGCCAAGTGCTCCTCCTTGCTGTGCAAGGAGGAAAACCGGCAAGCATTTGTGGATTGCATGACCAGACGAGAATATTGATGTCATGGCCAATGCTGGGGATTATCCCTTAGAATTTCTAGTAGCGCTGCTGTGTTAAGTAGCGTGTGTAGTAGCGGGCTCGGTGTGCGCTTTTTCTTGAAATGTCGAAAAATTGTTGGAGGTAGTTTAAGGGCGCCTTAAATTATTTATCCTTTCATGCAACTTATCCATAGGCTTTACCTAATGGAAGGAAGCAAAATAAGGGAGTAGTCTTACTGTATACTTATGGATTGAAACACAGCGTTTTTTTTTTTAGTATAATGACTGCTCCAAACAGTTTGTTATGATAACTGTATCATTTTGCTGCAAATATAGACGCTAAAGGTAACGTAGTCGCGGACTGAAAGTTTAGGGCTAAGTTATGCACTAGCTTTTGTTTCCAGTGTCCCCAGTTCGTGTAAGTTGGCATAATTCTGACTCCAGGACCTACATTAAAGCCAAAACTACCATTAGTGACCAGATTCCCAGTGACACGATGCTGTAATCTCGAGCAATTGCTCTCTGCAGTTGTCATACCAAGACAAAAAAAAAACGATGTTGCGTATTCATTCGTGAGTACTCTAACATGAGCGAGATACAATCCTGTAATGTATCAAAAAAGAGTTATTATATTGGCAAAAGAAGCTACGAGTTTTTGCAGTTTTGGGTAGTCTGCTAATCTAGGGGTTGTAATCAACGTGTGAAAGTAGAAATGAAAAAAACAAAACAAAACAAAACAAAACAATGATGACGTGGCAAATAGAATTTACTTAACACGATAAAAATGGCTCGTGAGTATGTTGTTAAGTTTTTCGTGAAGAACTAGCAAAATGTCGCTGCATGCCCTTTAACTTCCTTATTTTGATGTGATTGGGTTTCACCCGCAAAAGCTGTCAGCACCGCTCAGCGCTGGCTACCCAGCAACGTTTGGGAAGCTTTGCAATAGTTTTGGATTGTTCGGTCAAAGTTACGTGCATCACGCGAGTACTAGTCAAGTTTATTTGAGAGCTTACACAAGCGCCAGCAATAATGCGGGTAGTTTTGATCACAGATGTGTAAAAAAATAAACACATTCCACCAGGGTCAGATTGCCGATGGTCGACAACCGTGACCGCCGCTATCGGCATGCATTGCTTGTGTATTAAGTTCCTTAGTTTTCTGGGCACAAGCTAGCCCAATAAAGCATTTGGGCTGTGTTTGCTTTCTTCTTTGTCAAACCACGTGACAATATATGTTATATCGGCAAGCAAGTTCCACATTGCGAGAATTTCGCACGCGAAAAGCCATTCATAACTAGTGTTTGGCGATTCTGTGGTAAAGAAAAAAAGATATAGTGTAAACAGGCAAGTATTCATCATGAACTAGCTTTTCAGGGTGGCGACAGCGACCTGCCTCTAATGCTCGAATTATTAGCACCGCAATACAAGCACCACTAGCACAGAACAATAATCAGCTACTGTTATTGAAAAGTTTAAGCAGGTCTACTCAACATCAGCAGACATTCATTTTACTACGTCGCCTGAGTTCTGCACATACTTTGAAACTTGAACCCAAGTCAGTGTGAACTCAAGCTATACTATGCATAACTTAATACTAGCAGCTTGAAGAGCTTTATAATCGAATCTCCTTATAAGGACGTTGCATGTGGCATAAATAGTGTCATTATGGGTGTGTAATTGCTCATTCTTATAACATCACGTTTAGACCACATTCAAAGCTCACCTTTTATTGTTTCAGGGAATTTCGGAGGACCTCTTTGCCAGCCTTTCCACAATGCTGTCGACAATTTTTCGAGTATCCAACCCGCTCGTTCTGAAGTGACGCATTTTGGCGACGTATGAGCGCCTCGAAGATCATGAGAGAAAGATGCTCTTGTACAACAGCATAATTTTTGGACGGTATGACCGGCACTGTCACGACTGACGCGTCCCTAGCGCCCACCTTGACGGGCACACGAGAAGCAACATGTGACAAATTACCTCAACGACATCAAATGCATCATTGCAAAAGCAACTGTACTTTTGTGAAGGGCGTTTAAATATCCGGCGGTCTATTATGACGGGGACTGCCACTACATTAATCATCTACAAACAGTCCCGTTCCTCGCCAGAAACGTTCCGGTGCTTTTCGTAACATACTCATTATTGTGATATGTTCAACAAAAGGTGTGCTGTTTGCACCTAATGCTGTGATCAACGCTATGCGTTATTAAAACATTTTGCAACTTTGACTTCGTTTCTTTTTATTTATACATAGTGCTATGTATATCAGGAGTGAATTATTCATTGATAATGCCCTCCTCGAGATTTTTCAGTTTGAATAAGTATATATAGAAGTACACATTTAAACACATGCAAGCATATAACTAGAGAAGAGTCAGATGGGTAAGAGTAGTTAAAATTACTAAATGCAACATCACACTGAAAGGATAAGTATTGACATTATGTCGAGTTGCACTTTATTTTGGGTGTCAAAATTATTCTGAGAACGTATTCAAGTCTGTAGGTGTGTCGATACTACCATCATTTAGAAAACTCCATTTCAAAACCTTCAGTTTTCAACATTTATTACAAAAAAGGAAGGGTGTGCTGGCACGACACCACTTAATACCGATGGAATGCGTCTTCTGAATTGGTACATAAAGCGATAAACTAAAACGCGATGAAATAGCATATGCACACAAATTACTATGTAACAAACAAATCATTGTTAGCAAGCTGAAACCCATACTGCAATGGCTTAATTAAGAAACAAAACAATCACAGTTAACAAGTGGAAGCGACTACCGCCATGGCTGCCAGCCTCTCCACGTCAGCCCTAAGATTGCCGGGTCAGTGGCTTGCTCTATGAGACATTCCACCTGAAAAAACAAGAATTGTCATAAGACTGAGACATTTGATTGAATGAATCAAGCGTTGAAACCAAGGAGGGGATTAAACAAAATGTTTTCTAGTTGTCATAATGCTAGGAAAAACAAGATAGCATGAAAAGATCGTTGAGTTTACTTCAAGAATAAAGAGGCATCAGACTGTGTTGAAAAACGACAAAAAGGCAACAACGCGAATGGTTTTGTTATTGCCATCTTGTTTCAAATGTTTTTAGCATGCAAGCTTATTCATTAAATTACTAGCCTCTCCTCCAGCATTCAGCCTTGCAACGATCAATCTTGATACTTCAATCTTTAATCACTGCTGGAAAGCAAGCAGCCCATAATAGACAGGTGGGCAATAAAATGCTCATTCGCTTAGTTTAGTTGTAAAGACAGGGAGAATAAATAAATGAAGAATGAAAAAAGACTGATACAAGTGGGAGTTGAGAAGACAGATGACGTGTACAAGCTGGCTGATGGAATGAATTTATATGCAAGCTCGTGGTTTTTATTTGCATGCAGAGCCTTATCACAGGCTCGATTGTGACATATGCCATTTCTACAAGTGGCTGACAGCAGTAAGATTGACAATGCCACTACACTCAAACCTCGATATAACGAATCCGGATATAATGAAATATCGATTATAAAGAAGTAAATGAAAGATAGTCTTGCAATAGATTTAGTGTTAAGAATAAACCTCTATAACGAATTTTCAGATATAACAAACTTATTTTCATGTAAAATGCAAGTTTGTTATAATGAGGTTCGAGTGTACTATACTGTTGACAAATGTGCATCAACCATGATTAAAGGTTGTGCAAGTACAACAATAATAATAGGCACATGCCTTCAACACATTTTCTTGGTGCATTGTCGATTATAAGGTTCGCACCTCGGTCCTCTTGCAAGAACACACATCGCAGCCAGGCACAAGAAGCGCAAAAAATGAGAAACAATATTCATAGCAAATCTTTGCAGTAAAGGAGGTCAACGTGCCAAAACTACAATACGATTACGAGACACACCATAATGGGTATCTCAAAATTGAAGAGGTCATGAACAACTTTTCTAAGAAATCGTCGAATGACCACGGTATTAAATTTTATTGCCTGAAGAATTGATTGCCGTAAGAGTTTCTTGAATCCGTCAAGACCAAGGGCAGCTACACGGATTTGTCTTGCTTATCCAGACCAGCGTGCTGGAAGCCACGGGAGAAAGAACGACTTGCGAGAAAGAAGTTAGGTCAATGCGTCGTAACTTGGATCATACATGACGACATGTAATCGCTCTTTGCTGTTGCGATTCCCGTGCGAGTGTGGCTCACTGTTGCTTAGAAGCAGACTAAAAGCGCATTGTCGGTACACGCCAGCATGCTGTAACAAGAAGCACGTCTTATCCACAAGCCAACGTTGATCAATGTTGGCTATCGGTCAATAGCATGCCATCTGTGGTTCAACATCAAACGGGACGCTTCGGCAGTACTGAATAGAGCGAGTGCAAGCGCCGTGTGAAAAGAGTGCGCCTGGGAAAATGGCAACCTTGCGCTCTGCTTCTTCGTTCCCTTTGCAGTGCACGACTGCGAGATTTGGCCTTCATGAAAGTTCTGACTGCACATATTTTTTCAACAAGCCTGAGGGATGCTATACATCCTCTGAATTTGAACTGGGGCTTTTAATGAGCGCCTGAATCTAACTACATAGGCAGTTTTGCCTTTATAAGCAATGAACGCAGTCACTGTGACTAGGAATCGGACCTGTGACTAGTACTAGCTTAGCAGTGTGATGCTGTGGAAGAAAGGTTAACTGGACTGAATCCAGTTATAGCTACCCTACACGTGGGGAGGAGAATAAGGGACTAAAATAGAGAGAAGGAGAGACATATTTCATGACACAGACACGGTGCAGGGTTTTCACGGGAGATTGTTAACTGTGTTGCTTTCGAGCCCCACGAAAGTTAAAGTGTGCAACCCTAGTAGTAATACCAAGCTACCTAGGAAGGTACCGTCACAACACTCATGACAGAATACTACTTAGGTGCTCACACATGTTCAACCCCATCACCGGTGATGCCAGTGGCATCTGTCTTGAATCAAAGTCCCTCGTGTTTTGCTTACCTGCTGCTGAGGTGTAAGCTTGTCCGTGCCGGAGAACTGACGCCGAAACTCACCGTGGGGCCCGCTGGCACCGAGGCATACGGTTTCCATGCTGGCAAAGTAAGAGTTGTTGCCCTTGCCGAGTTTCAACTCGTCACTGAAAGTTGGAGAGAAACAAAAGGATGACTGATCGATTTGAAAATGTTCACACGTCAAGCATGTACCACTTTTCAAAATGAAAATGGCAAGTTAGGACTTCAAACTGTTTTCATGCACGTTGCACGGTAACGAGGTTTAATCCCTTGTTCGCAAAACTGCTTCCATGCACAACATTTGCATTTATTTCCGACATGAGAAAGTGCAAGTTTGATGCACCGTGCTCTCTGCTGTGCTGCTGTACATGTAGCCAATCAGTGTGGCAATATTTGGGGCAGGTTTTATATGAATAATGAAACGGTGTTAGAGGATGCATTCACCTTTTCTTTGCACACGCTGTCCAGCGCTTTTTACTAGCATATGTAACTTACAATACCAATAAAAACTTGTAGGATAAGTGCATTCATTTTAATTTAATGTGTATATCCATTACTGCTAAGCTGTTTTGAATGTTTAGTTGTTATTGCATCGAAGAAGCAGTTGTTAATGCTTTAAATGAAACCAAGTGGACAATAACAAATAAGCTAAGGGCAATACAACTTAATGGGGCCCTGCAACACTTTTCCAGCGTGGTCTCAGAAAATGGTGATGATCGGTAGTTGAGGCTCCTGAGAACAAGTGAGCAGAAACATTCTATAGCACGTTAGGTAGCTGAAATTCACAAATAACTCTCCAAGTCAGCTAGAAATTGCTTCTTTTCTCATCAACTGACGCCACAAACCCAAACAATCGCCGCATAAACTTAAGGTCCATAGCACGCTTGCTCTTGATCTCACTGACACTAAGTTGCACGTTTGAAGAAAAGAATAAAAGAGAAAGCACTCAAGGTCATGATAACGAAGGTAGATCCTTGACTTCCTGTCACTGACCCCCTACTTGAAGCCCCTCCATCGCGTCTATTGCCACTTCTTTTATGTAGCGCCAACCACTGTTCCACCTAGTTCCGGCTCCAAAGCTTCCGAGATGAAGTTGTACGTTGTGCCACCTCCTTCCACTAATTCCTCCAATATTGTTTCTGCACACATGAGAAAGTAAATATTTTATTCTTCGTTCCACGAGTGTTGCCTTGAGTTTCATCCTAAGCTCACGAGGAATGCCACCTCGCTACTGCGCGCTGGGCTGTCCGATGGCGCCGACAGCCGAGCGGTGGGACAGCATGAACGAGGCGGGGTGGGTGTCTCAGGTGGTGTGAGCTTTCCTACATCAGTGGGGTGGGCGGGTGCACGAACCGGAAAAGCAGCAGAAACATCATGACGGCACCTCGATCAGCTTTTGCTGGTCGGAGGACTGGTGCAAAGTGAGAGGGGGAGAACGAGTTGGCGCTTACCTAACCTAGCCGGCCAAAAACGCATGCAGGGGCTTTACACCCGCCCAAACAGCATTCAGTGCTGTGTGAAGAAATGAGAATGAAAGTGCTTAAAAACGTGTGACAAATCCCTGCAACTCCGCTTGTGTTTTATGGATTTTGGAAATTCTTGCAGCTGTTGACTTGTGAGGCAATAAATTCACCTAATGAAACCATTCCATGATTAGTTGGAAAAATGCAGCCGGGCCTTTTCAAAATGACTTTAATAAAGGGTAATTCACATACCTTTATTACAAAGAATGCCACAGTTAACTAAAGTAAGCCTTTTAACACATATCATTCAAAGTTAGTTGTTAAGAATATGGTCAGGGAGCGTAAAGCATATGCAAGTGATGTATAAATGGCGCGTCGTTGACGTCGATTCAAAAGTTTGGCTGTTGCACAGGCCAGTCTGCACACTGCTACAAATGTGTGGTTTTCAAAAGTGATTGCTGGAGCTGTCTGCAGTCACTATTGACCCTCGTGTTTTCTTTGTGGCACTCAACAAATGTAATACCCATGTTTTCAATGTGAAGTCAACTCATATCACTAATTCTTTAATGCATTTTTTTTTAAACTAACAAGATGCCTTGCAAGGTGACATTTAACATCTACAGCTCCCACACATACTCTCCGACTGATTTATTTCTTGTTTTTATATCAAGCTTTTTAACACATTTTTTACCAATTGGTTACTCATATTATCAGTATTTTAGTTTGTAATCTCTGTGAACTACAAGCACATTAATGCAAAGGCTTTGAGCTTTTAATGAACATCTTGACAGATATACAATAAGGCATGCATTCTGTAAAAAGCTAATTTTCATCTTCAATACTGAGGCGTTGGTAGTTGTCTGCCTCGGCGGAACAGTGGCTAGGGTGCTCGGCTTCTAACTTGATGGTTGCGGGCTCATTCCTGGCTGTGGCAGTTACATTTTGATAGAGGAAAAATGGTTGAGGTGTGCGATGTCCGCGGACATTAAAAAACAGCAGAAGGCCAAAATTTCCGGAGCCCTTCACTATGACGTCTATGTGGCTTTGGGAGGCTGAACCCCAGCTATCATTATTAAGTGTTGGTAGTATGAGCACAGTCAAGAGAGTATAAAGAAAATAAATAAGCTTCGAACAGCTTTCCAGCGCATCGACTAGAACAGTACGGGCACAGGCCCCAGACTGCCAATGTGTAGAACAGTCTTGAATGAATCAAGGCTTGGTATTTGCTTTGCAAGCTTGATTGATGCAGACACTCACAGTTGACTATGAAGGAGATGCCACTCACCGCAGGATGTAGCTTGGATGATGTCCTTCCAGCTTTTGGCGCACAATGTCCACTTTTTGTCGTGGATACCAGTCCAGCGCAGCAGTAGCCTGGCCTTTCTTCTCATCTGCGTTACGCGCATAATCACTGCCTGTCAGACAATCAGTGCCATTTCATAGGTCGAATCTCCGTCTGCAAGACAGTGCCTTTAATGAAGCTCTGAGAGGTTTTCGCGAATGTTCATTTCCTAGGATTGAACGTCCTAGACCTCGAAACTATAGAAATACGTAATGCTGCTAACCCAAGCGGACGTTACATAATACGTCCCAACGTATGCACTGGGATGTATACACGATGAAGCTGATACTGTAGTGGGACGTTGTGACGCCGAATGTGGTCACTTGAGAGTGGCATATTTACGATGCTCACTCGCTCAGACTCGCCTAATAACCTCCTGTGCCAGTAGTTTTAAACACACAACCTGTGAACTTCTTGCTGGCAGCTCGCAGCCTGGGCATGACTGTCTTCACCCCATTAAAAAAAAGTTATCTTAATAAGTGAGTTCATGAGCAACAAAGGCAAGACTAGTCTAAAGCATTTGTTTTGTAAGGCACCCCCCTCTCCCTGCGGTCTACATTTGTTGATACATAACCATGAAATAAAACTGCACATTTCAGAACTGGCGTCCGTATTTTGAGAATTTTGGAGATAGACATTGATATGTTGTTGGAATCCTGCTGTCAAATCCCTTGTGGATATGACCCATATATGGAATGTACATGAGGCCTTCTTTGAAAAGGCAATGTTAGCTGACATTTCGCACAACCTATTGCCTTCCCCCCTTCCCCTCCCACTTTTATTTTGATTTGTCACTGACCTATATTACTTGTGTGTGGGAGGAAATTTTCATTACTGTGTCCCGTTAGCTGGGGTGAGTTCGAGACCCCTGACCTATGCTATCACTGACTACAAATACCAATATAAAAACACAGCAGATGACCAAGTGAGCACGAATGAGCGTCAAAATGCCGTAATGGCTTGCTCCCTAGTGACCACCTCTTATGCACTGATATCAAGATATAGTGGTAACTTGCAGTAGAAACTGGCAGTAGAAAAGCTGTCGCATCTTTCAGGGTATTTTAAGCTTCAGTACTCTTTCCATGATGTTGAAGTCATGAATATTCATCTAATGCGAAATACGAGAATCAGGAAAAAAACACTGCATTTTTTAATAACACTGCTCTACTTTAAAGACTTCACTCAGCCTTTAATTTTTTAGTGGCTAATAAAATTGGCTCAAGGAGAAATTGACAACTGCCCGAATTACAAAGTCAGCAAATGCATGAACACAAATCAGCCCAAATTCGAAAGTTTATGAAAAACTGGCGGACAGTTGGTACTTGGGCATAGAGCGAGGACAAAGCTGACTATGAAGGAATCGCATAAAGATGACAATGGCAACAGGAAGCACAGATGCACGAGAGGGCAATATGAGGAACACAGCTGTGACCTAAATGGGTTAACGGTAATATACACCCAAGATTTCTTCTTTGGTGTTCGTTTTGAATGCAGAAAATTATCTAAGAGGGCTGGAAAATCAGGACTCTAGAGTCAAGAACAATCAGCAGGCTGCGATTAAGTTTCGAACTTGCCTTTGCGTTCTTTGTCCAGCTGACTCTGCCTTTTCGCAAACCTCTGGAATATGAAGCATGAGAAAAAGAAGAGCAATTTAAGTTCGAAACTTTTCAATTTTTTTGTTTATTTAGCAAACTGAGAAGCAGAGACCTCATAACCAAGATTGGGGGGAGGTGGGAGGGAGGGGGCCTTATTGGTCAGGTGCCGGCTCTTAAAGCAGTACTACATAATTTTATGCAAATGACACAAAGACCATAAGATTTTTTTCACGATGATATTAGTTATGCACACTTAACTTTACAACTCTTCGATCATGCTATTAAATTTTATCAAAGTATAAATCAAGAAAAGATATACGATTGTAAAACTGGAGTGTTTTCAGCAACATGACAATTACGTGCTTGCTTCTTTTACGAGTGGGAGCTAGAAAAAGCCCTAACAACAAATAATACTATCAGACTTTGATACAACAGATGGAAATACTTTAAAAAGCTATCATATACAGTCGAACCTGGCTATACTTAACTTGGGTAAATAAAATTATTCTTTCTACCGAATTATTTTCGAACATGACCATGTTGCAATGTTAATGCGTAGGAAAGTTTATAGTTACGTCGAACAAAAATATAGCTCTACCAGTTGAGCTAACTAGGATGCCAGCGATTGCAAGCGCGAGGGCGAATAAGTGAACCACTGAAGCACATGGACACAGAATCTTGCAAACGAACTCAGCCGAATCCCGTGAGGTGGTGGAAGGGTTATGAAAGTGGCAATTAACAGCCACCGACAATTGACAACTAAATTTTTAGTCTTCAGTGGTAGCTTTTTTTTTTCTGAGAAATCCACGTGGGTTTCCTTGCGACTTTGTGCCACAAGAGATTGGTTGTCTCAGAACCCCGGAATTCGTTTGCTCGACAACGTAAAAAATTCGATAAATATTACAACGCACCCTACCACGAATTCTGAGTGCAGCTTTGTCTTGGAACCATGCCAACATTGCTTTCTTTATCTCTCCTGCTTTGTTTCTCTTTATTTACTTTTTATTCCTGTTTATTTTTTGCTATGTTTTTTTCTTTTTTTTTAAGCTAGGTCTGATTTTTGCTAATATATATATATATATATATATATGTGAGGTATGAAGCGATGGTTGGTAGAAGCAGAGAAGGAAGAAGAGCAGAATGGAATAAAACATAGCGTATGAGCCAGGCCACGTCGTGTGCACACACTGGACAGTCGAAGCAAAGCAGAAGGCTCAGACGCATCAAACGTCGCAAGCTACCAGGCGCAAGAACCACTCGCAGTGAACTGCGAAGAAGCCCCTGAAGAGCTTTGTGTCGTTTCTGCGGCACCACAGAATTGCCAAAATCTGCAGTTAAAACCTAGTAATGCCATGTCACCTGTGGTATCCCCATACAGTGCTTACAGCTTCAAGAACCGAAAAAATGCAGAAGTAATACATACACCAAACCTCGCACGCAGCTGTCTGTCCGAAGCGTCCATACTGGAACACCTTACCGAAGTCTTTGAAGAGCATAATGATGGCACATTACCAACTATGCCCGATAAGCAAGACACCAGCTCACCATGCATCAGCTGTCTACAGGACGCGTCAAACCTCGAAGGAAATGAATGCCCGATTCCAGAAGGGGCGCCACTACAGCCATCTCCTGAGCAGCACCAGCAAAGCAAGCAAAACGAAGTTCACAAACTCAGAAAACAACGAGAGAGACTGCAACGAGGGCATCGGCGAACGCCAAATTCAATGGGAACACGTTCACCTGTTGAAGAACATCGAAAAATAGGATCTCCAAATCAACAAGATGTCAGACACTTTCGGACAAAGAAAAGTCGCCAAAAACGCTCCCAGCGCCTGCTATTCCGCCGACTGCAACACCACAGAAAGTGCCGAGAAAGACGCGGAAGCACTGCTTGCAAACCGCAAGCACTCAGGCACTCCATCACAGTCCGTTGAAAAGCACGCAAGCAAGGAGCATCAGGATTGCACCATTCACGGCGAAAAATACAACCCCGACGACATCCGAGCTGCCGATGCAACAAGGCGTTCCAACCTTGGTCAGCCCGAACAAGAGTTCTAGCAGTACTGTCAGTATCCACGTGTATCCCGCTCTGTCCGGAACGCAACAGTCAGGCTCGCCCACCAGAGTTGTTATAGAGTTCACCGGACTGCTCCCTCGGGCTTGAAGATTTAAAGATACTGTGGAACTCCGTCGGGACGTGATACTGCGGATTTGGACATTGTCTGTTTATTGGCTTCTTCAAAATTTTTGTAGGTTATAAACGGTGCCATCTTTCGGGGGGAGGGGGAATCATGTGAGGTATGAAGCGATGGTTGGTAGAAGCAGAGAAGGAAGACGAGCAGAATGGAATAAAACATGGCGTATGAGCCAGGCCACGTTGCCCATTCATCGTAACGTCACATATATATATAAATATATATATATATATATATATATATATATATATATATATATATATATATATATATATTACAGTATATATATATATATTTACAGTATATATATACATTTGTTTCTTATGAAAGTTTCGCTCTCGCTATGTATACTTTTGTGTCTTTATTCCCATTACTTCTTTTTTTTGCTTTTTTACTTTCCCTCTGTTTTTTGTCTCTCTCTCTCTCTCTCTCTATATATATATTCATGGATTTTTGTTTTCATTTAACGTGCACCTGCTATACACAGCAGTGGGGCTTTACCAATTCTTGTTGTGCATACTTGCGATGGCGATGTCATGTGTTGCTCAACGCAAGCACAGGCGCTGAAGAGCTGCTCTCTAAAAATATATATACATGCCCCACATGCAAGGTGCATTAAAATGCGACATTAAAATGCGAATTCCAAAGCGCGACATCACACCAACTGAGCACGGCAGAAAGGCTGCGACCTTACCAGCCAGTCGATGGTGGGCTCTTGCACGAAGACGTCCATCATGTCGAGCAGGGACCGAGACCCACTGCGCAGGGCTTGTAGGGTGTAGTGCATGGAGCAGGCCATGGTACCTCCCTTCTCGAAGGGTTCAACAAGTGCCATGTACATGGGGGTCAGCCTGAAGGGCATCAGCTCAGGCACAGGTAGGAACTGGATTGGGCAAAGGGTTAAAAGACAAATCAACCAAGCTTGTTAGCGAGCGCAAGGTGTACTACCGGTATATGGGTCAAAACGTAAATTAGAAACAGCTGAGTTGTTTCACTAGAGCGAGCTGTAATGGAACAAGATACGGCCGCGATGGTAATTAGCAAGAGTGAACTACCAGTGCTATTTTTGTCTGTGCATTCCCCATGCATGCAGCAATTGACCAACGATTAGCATCCCACCAGTGAATCTTACGCAAGTCAACTACAGTGGCACAAATTGTGTGTACAGTTTGATACCACTCTAAATAGGTAACGTATATCATGTTGTGCTTTAATGTGCTTACCATCACACGATAGAGTACAATCTGACTGATAAGGAAAATTAGGCATAACCACTTGAAAAAGTGATGTGCAAGCAAACATTTATTTAAGCAGTCCATTGAAAAATTACTTGTATGTTCATAAATCTTACTACTATTACCCCACTGGCAAACAAAACAATACATTTTATCAGTTTTGCCTTCTGGTGTAAGATAGTGGCCAAGCTTCCCAGACTGCTCACTTCACAAATACAGTAGTACCTACAAAGTAACACGGCGAAACAAGCATTCGCATTAAAATAGCTAGTCTGTCTCACCTGCGTCGCAACACCGAAGGCATAGCCAAAGTCGATGCCGATCTCGAGCCCCGTCTTGGTGCCGACCAGGAAGTTGCCGAGGTGGCGATCCCCGATGCCCAGCACCCAATGAGCAATGCTAATGGTAGCGTGCGAACTGACAAAACGGGAGCGCAGGGCAAAGAAGGCTTCTGGGCACGAACTAAGGCTGAGCAGGGCTTTCCTAAAAAAATTGTGCGACAATAAAAGAAAAAAGGAACAAAATAAGTACTGCTAAAATTTTTAGATGTGGCAGTTCTTCAGCAAATGCACCATTACCAACCCTTTCGCACAGCCCAGCATTTACTGGTTGTGCACAAAGTAAGGAAAGACCACCTCTGAATAGACTGTCATTCTTCTTTACGTCGCCTATAAAAGGTGGGACAAGCCTGACTGAAGTGAGCAGCTTGTAATTTGTGATACGGGAGGGGGGGGGGGGGGGGGGGGGGGGTGTGTTAAAATGGGGCTTTTTCACGGAACCACAAATACTGTCATTACTTCACTTTAATTACTCATAAACACTAGTGATTGATCATTTTCAAATGTTTACCAAGCAGTGACTTGTGGCAAGCGATGTTCATACCGATTAAAGTTGACTGCCCATTTTCACCCCAAAATATTTTGAGATCAGTGCTTTTCTCATGCAACTCGCTGGCGCGCAGACTTTACAACTGTTGTGGCATGACTGGCTGCCATGTTCACTTTCAGATCAATGTGATTTAGACTGTTGTGGGAGCCTTAAGCCCCCTCCAAAACAATTAGCTCAAATTGGGTGCCTACGACGCAAAGACATGCCATTCTTTGTGTGATTAGAGACACTGGATTTCATAACAAAAACCGTCAGGCTCACCGTAGAGCCAGCTTGCTTGCTGGCCGCAGGCAGCTTAAGTAGCGAGACGTAGCAGCCTTCGAACAGGACTGCGTCTCGTAGGCCTTCATGTAATCGTCCACGCTGTGAAGCTTGTAGCTGCCTGGGACTTTATTTCTGGTGTTGGAAGAGAAGGGATTAAAGCTGAATATTCGACAAAAATAACAACGTGACAAGTAGCTTTAGAGGCAGAGCGCTAGAAGATAACCGAGATGACATGAGCACTAAGTTATAAGACCCAATCGATGAATATATTCGTCGGTTGTAACTGTTTTCGGGCACTCGTTGAATGCATTTGCTTGTAGCTCATCCGACGCCATGACTGGCTGGAGTACATATAGTAGTTCTAATGTAGAAACTTATTGTGACTATAAGCCTTGGATACCTTAATGCATGTTGGCAATGCACCAAGCCTAGCCCTGCACAGAGCCTAGTTCCAAACCATAAGCTACAGAAATACCATAACCTCACTTACTCGCTAAGAATTATTATCAAGAGCATCTGAGATGATTGTTATTTGCCTGCATGCCACTGCGGACAGCCAATCTGTTCTGACTGCTGCCTCTCCTTTGCTGAAAGTTTGAAGCTTTCTCGACCTGCTTTCAATAAAGTTGTGTGATAATATAAAACACAGCAAGAATGTCAGATTGAATTCTACTGGAGCCAAGCAAGGGCCTTCCTAAATGCAAGTCAATTGAAAAGTGCAATTGAAAAATTATTTGTACGTTACATATGACCTGAAGGTCGCATGAAAGGAGTATAAAGATTTCGGAGGGGAGTGGGTGGTGTGGCAAACGTGCAATGCTGTTTCCAAGCAATCTCAGTTCTATGAGTAAGCTTCCTACCAATACCTGTATGCCAATACTACGTCACTCATGTTTAAGCAGAGGCAAACAAGACGGCTACTGGTCAGATTTTTAACAGTGAACAGCAAAGGGTGATTGCCTTCCAGCGTCACTCAGGAGCGCAGCCAGATCACGTACTCAGGAGAGTAGCGGAGACGAAGGTATTAGAGCACGTGTGCCACGCAAGTCACAAGACCAGCGTGCTGGGGCAGGGCTATGGACTCCGCACAGCAGAGCCATTGTCAAGCAGCAAACACTGAGCTTCAAGAGCAGGAAGCGCAAGGGAGGCAGCACGCAGAGGGAAGCTGTCAACAGCTAGGTCGAAGGGAACGAAGTGCAAAGGAGACGAAGTCGACCACGGCGAAACACGCAAGAGCCGCAGTAAAACAGAAGCAGCAACCTTACGAATCATAACAAAACACACGACACGAAAACACCTCGAATCACAAAAAACATGAAAGGAACGAGCACAGCTTTGTTGCTTTCTCAGGTGTCCCGTAACTCAGTTGAGATTTGTAGATATCACAGCTGAGCAGTGTATTTGTTTGGGGGGAGGGGGGAGGCACAACAGATATGTCAGTGATCAGTGAAAAATCTACATGAATTCCTATGTTTGGTGGCGCAAGTGTCACTAAAGACATGTGGTGACTGTCGAATCTGGTGCAGAAGAGGGGGAGGGCCTGCAAAAGAGCGAACCCTTAGAACTGGGTGGTGTGGCACAAAGTTGCCTTCACCTCAATCGCCGAGGCCACAGCACAGTTGCAGATCTAACACGCGTACTGATCTGAGAGCCCATGGCATCGAAACCATGGCATGGCTCAGAGTTCATGGGACCGCCAGATGGTACCACCACTTTTGAACAGAATGATGAAAATGGTAATTTCTCAGCATACAAGCATGCTGTAAGCAGGCATGCTGAGGATCTTGAGTAAATTTATTATTAAAATCACAGAAAAAAGACAGAAAAAAAACCTTTCATGAAGCGCAAAAGAAAGCAAGTTCAACGTTAAAGTGAAATATCATTTTGAGGTAGTAAGAATAATTATTCTGGTCACTGTAAGAACCTGCATTTGACGAGGACAAGGGAAGGGCATGCTTACATGTCATCCTGTTCTTCAGTTGTGAGCCCTTGCCTGAGGAACTCTTCCATCACCATGGTGTCGTCTAGCCACTGGATTAGTCCAACCCTGCAACACAGTCAATGCAACCAAACGTACTATGACTTAATGTCTTTACACTCAAACCTTGATATAACAGACCCGGATATAACGAAATGTCAGCTATAACAAAGTAAATAAAAAATAGTCTTGCAAAAAAAATAAATCTTTATGACGCATTTTCGGATATAATGAACCTAATTTTTGTGTAAGGTGCAACTTTGTGATAAATGAGGGGGCTGATACCCATGTAAAGTTGTTTGCGCCGCGTGGCATACGTGTTTCGCGCATAAGCCGCATTTCAGGTGCACAACTATCGAGCAATAGGTGGCGTTGTGCTCAAGAGCATTTGTAATCACCACCACTGTCATAATCATCATGGTTGTTAGATCGGCAGCGCCGGCGTAGACACCTGGTGGCAAGCCTGGGTGGCAGCGCAGAAGAACGAAGCGAGGCTTTTTCTCTGGTGGCGTTTGGCGTGAACGCTTGTCTCTTGCAGGGAAACCCCAGTGCACGGCACCACGTGCCGTCTGCTAGGGGCCCTTGTGGTGAGTCAGTCGTTGGTGACACTGCATTGTTTGTCATGTTGTTGAGTGTTGTTTAATATTGTGTAAGGATGTCTTAGGGTGTTGATCACAATTGATCTTATAATTATTTGGCTGACGATATTGTTTTAAAAAGTAGTTAAATAAATATGTGTTGTTTGGTTTGTTCTGACCATGTCTGCTGTGTCCGTTCACTCCAAGAACATGGCGTGCTCGCAAATTTCGAGACCCCACAGAAAATGAGGTTAGAGTGCACACACAATCAGCATGAATGGGAGTGATTAATCTGCACACTGTACATAACTAGGACAATGGTAAGCTTTTATTATTTTTTTTTCAGACAAAGACACACAAGTCTTTGCCTGCCTTGCCTTTGCGTTGGTCTTCAGTTGAACCAATTTCACTTTGTTAGAACTGCTACTAGCAAACACGATTGGCGTCGACTGAAGGAGTAATGCATGGACTCCATGTCACGTCGTACCTGTGCGTCAGCGGAACAACGCTGTAAGTGACGAGCTGCAGGTGCCTGCTACGGCACACGGGGTCCTTGCGAAGCAGGTCGTTCATGACCGTGAAGATCTGCTCGATGCGGTCGTCCTGCCTGAGGTCCTCGCCGGTCTTCACCAAAAACCGGTACTCCTTCTCGTCGTCCCCTCGGATGGTGATGCGGCAGGGACGCTGCTTGGACTGCAGCACCCTGATCTGCAGTTGCCGCGTGAAGGAAAAGTATTCTCACCAGTCTGTGGTAGCGGTGACTGTGCATCGATGTCAAGTAGCCTAAACAATACAAAACACTAAAATACACAAATTGTTTAAAAGATGAAAAACTCGTGAACACGGTGTGTCACTGGAGGCAACACTTTCACATGTGAACTTTGCTAAAGATGTTCACGTTTTCTTCACACCGTTGTGGGGCAATTGACCAACACTCTAGTTCGACGTGAGGTGCAACTAATGTGACCACTGTCCATGACAAGTGCACCAGACTTCACCACGTCTGCGTCTTTTTTAGTGGTGGAGGGATGCCGGGCGAGCTCAAATGCCTGTGTCAAGGCAATGCAGCGCAGTGCGCGTGTGGGAGTCTGGTACGCTTTATTTTCCCATCAACATAACGCTATGAACCTGGCATTGCCAACTTCAGTCACCACTGGCTTGCATAAATGCTCCTTTACGCACCACCGTAACTCATCACCCCATCTTGCTGTGTGTCTTGAAGGATCCCCTCTTGACATCCCCGGCCCTCCCTCTTGCCTCTCGCAGCAAGCTTTCAACATCCTCCGCCCTTGTCTACGCCTCTTGGAGTGCATGAAGCCCTTCCCTTTCTACCAAGGCTCGCTATCGCCACAACACAAGGCCACCATGATGAGCGCTACCACGACGCCCAACATGAAAACCTCGACTGAGAAAAGCTTCACTGTTAAAACAACAGCATCGTCGATGGCTTTCTGCCAACGAATTGTAGCCAGCAGACTCGGGATCACTTCGTCGGCTGTCACTTGGTTTTGTCAGCACTGTGAAAATAGCAGTTAACTTGTGTGAAAAGTGAATTCACAGCGAACTAGCTACAGCACGTACTCCGTAAACATGCTCATAAGATAACTGAGCGCTCTATGCAGCGTACACTAATGCAGTGTTCTGGCCGGTTTCTGAAGGGTGATCACGGGGGAAAACTAAAAAAAACTTTTTCTTCAGGTTCCCAGTTTTTGTAGTTTTTGGCACAGTTTACAACACAGCAATTATTATGCAGCATAGCCAAGCACTGCTAAAACTTGACATGGCTCCGAGCACATTGCCTATAGCAAGCTGCAAAAATGAAGTTCAATGCAGATGCATTTATAAAGCAGGATGTTCAATCCATTCCAATTTCAATGTACTTAGCTCTTTATTAGCTACTAGTCAACACAACAAACAAAAACAAGTTGTGTACACAAAAGCCTGCAAAGGGCTTCTAAGGTGTTACTATTTCTCTGATTACAAAATTCGCATAAGTGAGGAAAAGGTCCCAATGCAAGAACTGTCAGAAAAAATCTCCCATTAACAAACGTACAAAAATGTAGAACGACATGAATGGCAAGTAAGGTTAAAACAATGTGCTAATATAAATCGGCACATTGGAAGTAAATAAACGAAAGACTGTAGCAACTTATGGGAAAAACATACTAGCACAATTTAAATACTTAAATATAAGCACCTAATGCATAACATAAGTAATTAAGCAAATGCCAGTTAAATGATGCTAAAAGGTATAAGAATAGTTTTATAGTGGTTAAGACATGTACGTACAATAATTAGCAGCAAATAGCAACACAATGCAATACAAAGTCAAGTGAACAAATAAAAAACAAACAAACAAGCAATGAGAGCTAGACACTTACACTTTCGTCGAAACCAAAGATCTTGACATGGTACTCCGGCATCGGCCTACCCTTGCCTGTATACTGGCCTGAAGAAGAGTTGGAGTTAAAAATATTCTATAACGCTAGTCAGTCACTAGGCCCAGGTACTAAAATGCTAGTCTCTACTACTTTGTAAGTAAGGACAATAGGCCTTTTGCCACACAAACCTGGGATTTCAAGGCTGTGCTCCTGATCGAGCGAGCTGAAGTGGCTGAGCCATGGGGAGATGTCCTTGAGTGCTTTAGGAGCTTCGCTGGGCTTGTAGCCACTCATGAGCCTGTTATACTGCTCTTGAAATTTCTGAAGCGACAAGAGAGGTATCAAACAAAGCAAAAAACAGTGAGCAATGCAGACAGCCACCTTAAACAAAGTCGGGTTACATATCACTGCATAAACATGCCACTGAAGACAAAAGAATTTTAATTATGTGGACATGCAGAAGAATCTGCTGTTCACAGCATCCTTTGAGCATTGAATGCACTATGTAATGCTGAATCACTCCTTATCACCGGTCCCCTAAAGATGCATGCACACGCAACTATTTCAGACACGCTTCGAATGATTCAGCTATTCTGCTACAAAAATGTGACTTCCCTATCTACCTAAAAGAAAAAAAAAAAGGCTTCATCTCAACCAGCTTCATAGGAAATGGAGTTTAAATGCGCCTGTGCACTGCTACGGGGCACAAAAACTAGCAGTGACCTCACAACGGTGGTGTTACTTTGACTTATGACTTCAGACGGGCGTTACTGCACACACAGCGTGGTGTGTTAACGTCCCTGAATCAGTGGCATCGGAAGCCTGACGACACAACTAGCAAGGGTGTGCAATGACAGAGGCACGTAAAATACATTTTTATTGGATAGTTGTGGATCGAGATGCACTAGCCACCACTTAATAAGTAGTGACATTTGTGACGAAACTGTTACAGGAATGCAAGCTTGTCTTGCAGTGCTAGCGAGCGTGACTTTTTGCAGTACGGTACAGTCCAATATGGATGTATTGAATTACTGGCTACAACAAACAGTTGCAATATTCTCTTAAAAAGATTGTGCAAGAGTTTTAACTTAAGCACTGTACTGGGGCATATATAAAAATTTCTCCCCAACTCGAACACTACTTCCCAACACCTAACAACACTTTGATCTCTTCTGGTGTCGTTGAACACACCTGCAATGATGAAATGGCCTTTTTCCACAAATGCCATGAAAGAAAATGTCGAATCTGTAAGAAATCACGGGCCACCAAAGAAAAATGAGCAAGGTACTTGCCACGAAACCCGAGAGCCTTCGACAGCAAGGCCCTTATTTGTACTCCAGTATGACAGATTTCTTTTAACAAACATCGCTTCAAAACAGCCTTGGGTGGTGGTAGAGTTTACTAATAAAATCAATGACAGATGTTGTGCAGTGAAGTGGGTGATTCATTCTAAAAGACAAGGCATGCAAACACGGACACAAGATTGATTGATTGATATGTGGGGTTTAACGTCCCAAAACCACTATATGATTATGAGAGACGCCGTAGTGGAGGGCTCCGGAAATTTAGACCACCTGGGGTTCTTTAACGTGCACCCAAATCTGAGCACACGGGCCTACAACATTTCCGCCTCCATCGGAAATGCAGCCGCCGCAGCCGGGATTCGAACCCGCGCCCTGCGGGTCAGTAGCCGAGTACCTTAGCCACTAGACCACCGCGGCGGGGCACACGGACACAAGAAGGTAGTCAGGATACTACATGTCATTAATCATCATAATTTCATAATCACGCTGCATTTTTGGATTAATGCTTCCAAACTAGCTGAACTCTTTTTTATTCTAATCAGGCTTAACTTTGACCATTTGCACTGAATTATGAAAATGATATTAAACTATTCCGTGATCCCTTTTGGATTTTACATTGATATGAACGTCAAGAACTCGTTGCGCTAAATTTAGTAAAGCCAGAAGAAATGGGGGCCCGGAAGTAATTTTACAGCGAAAGCTGTTCTGAGGGACAACTAAAGCCGATTTCGGTGGTGTAGCTGTCCGTCACTATCGTCGTACGGAGCAGCTATTGCACAAAGCGAAAAAAAAGTATATGGGTGAGAACATGGTTTGAACTTCGGCCCTATGGGCGGCAGTTGAATATTCTACTATAGAGCCACGCCAGTGCTAGAAACGCTTTTGAAAAAGGACACAATATCGGTCCTATGTTTTTATAGGACCCTATAAGAACCCTATATGTATTTCGACAGTTTGCCCAACGGAATGCAGAGATACGTATACAGGTAGATAGAGGCTGGTTTTCACTATACACATCAACAGTGCTCCAGGTGAAGCTCATAGAGCGCCCAAATCATAGCAAGGTGGTCTCATCGGAAAGATAGTTTTTTGACCACAGTACTACATAACTTCTTTTTGAGTGGAAGATGTAGCCTCGGGGATGAAGTCATCCGTTTCTAAGTCCGCCAAGATTTTCAAACAACTGTTCAGTTGAAGAACGCTGGCGTGGCCTTGATGACTTTACTGTTGAAGCTCTCGCGTGGCGTTTCGTTCAGTCATACACTGAGGTGGCGTTACATAGTGTCATCACACATGTAAAGTCCGCAACGAAAATTGGAACCGGCTACTGCGTTCATCTCAGCCTCCGGTTGCGTGTTGGAGCAGGGTGCTTTTATGCGTTCTTTTCTATAGCATCCACGGCAGAACATGACAGCAGGCCTGAATGGTCAAAGGCAGAGCACGCCGCCATAAATCAAGGAACCATGAACAATGACAAGCCAAGTACAGTGAAATCTTGGTAGAACGAACCACACATTAATGAACTTTTCGGATTAATAAACTTTTAAAAAATCCTGCGCCGACTGCTAATAGTTTCAATGTAAAATTATTTCACTACTACGTACTTCAGATTGCCAAACTTTTCAGAACAACGAGCACTAATTGAGTTCCACATTATATTAACAACGCCTCAGTACAGCGAACTCATGTTCTGAAATCAGTAGCGACCATCGGAGCGATGCGCAAGAAGACGACACAGAGAACAAACGCCTTGTTTCTCGGAACATGCGACGGTGCGGAGACAAAAAACAACGAAAAGACGACTTTCTTTTCTTGTTTTTTTTTTGTTGAAATGTCGACGCCGCAGGTTTACAAGCGCCGAGGCGAGAGCGAGAGGAAAACACGGGAGGGCGCGGTCGGTGGCAGAGTGGGAGTTGCGGAGTAGGAAGTATGGGGGCGGAAAACTTGAGACAGTGAGGGAGCAGAAAACGAAACACGAGGAATTTTCTTTAGCTCTTTCTTTTCTTCGGAAGAGGCAATGACAGCCGTGACAGTTCGGGTTTTTGTTATCTTTGTCACTTCTATATGTGCTCCAGGAGGCCTTGTCAACCGTCTTCATCTCTTTTCCGTGATTCGCGTCCGCAGAGCAAGTGGGTGCTTGCGCTGCAGTGCTACCGAGTTCATCTCTGCTTGCGACAAAAAAGCGGAAGCAATTTTTGCTAAACAAGAAAGTAGATCACATCACAGAAATGTGAATGAGCTGGAGGGCTTCGTGCTGCAAAGCTTGTGCCGCGCACGTCAAAAAAAAAAAAAAAAAAAAAAAAAAAAAAAAAAAAAAAAAAAAAAAATAAAAAAGTAAACGCGCATTTTTTAGCGTGCACTTGTGCATTCGTTTTTTCTCGTAAAAAACGAGTTCAAGGACCCACCGTTTTAAAGGTAAGTTGTTTTGGTCGGTGGAAAATCAGTATTTATGGTTAATTTCTGGGCTTTCACTATAACGACCTTTCCCTATAACGACCTTTCCCTTTCACTATAACGACTCTTTTCCATGTGGGATGTGGAAACAATGGCATGCTGAGGGCAAAAGAGATCTCTACGCAGGGTATCTTGGTCTTGCCTGGGGTCGATGCCTGCCACCACATACTGTCGAAGGTCGAGGTGTGAGGCTACATATGGCTGGACAGGAACAGGATTTCCATCTGGCAGAACAACCTGTCTAAGCTACTGGAGTCCACTCATTGCACCTAGTGATGGTAGATACGCTGACACTGTGTTTGTTGACGGATGCTCAATCCACGAGAGCACTTAGTTTGGAGACGTGCGCTTTGAGTAGCTTGAACGCGCTTCGATGGTACATACCAAAAGGTTGATGCAAGTGCACACTTTGACGACGCCCTTGTGTGGACTGAGCATCTGTTTTTCGAACCGGAGGGAAGAAAATCATACACGTGCACTTAGTATTTGATGCCAAGTTTTGTTCCTTGTAAAAGTACATGGCAGAAGGTGAAGTACGTGCAGCTGTGAGAAGCCCAGCAGCGCTGCCCGTTTGCAGATGTAATAAGACTAGAATGATAACCAGGCATCACAAAATGCTGATTGTGCGACGAGCAAGTCATTAAATTCCCCCCCATTAAAAGAAGCTCAGCCAATATTTTTCATCACCTTCAGCCACAGCATCAACAAAGTGTATAATAATGCCTCACAGATATGTGATGGCACCTTGTTTCTCATAGAATTAGGAACAACGGTATTGCGGGTACCTCCCACTTAGCAAAAATTACGGTGATTTATGGCAGTGGTTGGCAACCCATAACTTCCAGGCCAGTTTTATGCAGCCCCAGGTATAATATAAACCCTCCTCTCCCCCTATTCTCTTGCGACTTCCTATTTGAAAACTGACATGGCAGTTTTGACACCAAATTGGGTTTCTACTTGCAACCTATGTTTGTTAATTGTGACGTTGTGACAACCGTGCAATGAATTTTATTCCAATTGGTATACTATTGTCTCTTGTCGAATTTTATTTTTCCCTTGAGTAAAACACTCTTTCGCCCCCCCCCCCCCCCTCCCCGGTTTGTCGTCTGGCCTCCGCTAGGTCGGCTTCGTGCGAACTTGGTCCTCCACCTCGAAAGGTTGGAAACCGCCAATTTATCGCAAAGTTGGTACTTTCCAACTGTACTCGCAGTAGTCAGCCCAAGAGAGTTTACAGCGGTCTCTAGAAAGGCCACTTTTATAGCTTTTGCGTGACTGTGCGGCATGTGCTGAGCAGGCTTGGAATTTTTTTAGTACAAGATGTCTGTCCAAAAGCACAGTGTTATCTCCAGTTGGTGACAGTAACCAAGGCTACCCAAAGAAGAAAAAGATGTTTAATGAGAAGGAGGAGGAGACATTGGCCTAGAAAGCGGGTTTCTAGCCTGCTACCCAAAGGCCATACAGAAACGTGGGAGCCTACCTTTGGTGTCATGGCAGCGAGTTTCTCGCCTTGAGTACCAAAGGCAGCTATCACCTTTTCTTTCATATTCTGTGAAAAAAAAAGAAAAAAAGGCCAGAGTGTTAAAAAAAAGAAAAAAAAGAAATGAATGAGATGTTCCAAGAGATCACCTGCACTGCAGAGTGTTCATAGCCTTTTGTTACTACTTTCGCATGTCAATCGAATTTAACAAAATGTTGCTAGTCAAAGCATTCATTATACAGCCAAGGCTCATAATGACGAAGCACATCTCACAAGAAAATCGCATCTTAATGTCAAATTATTCATTATAAAAGAAATTTCACGACACTGTATTGATGGCAAGACTGTTCCTTTATTTCACTATAACCGGTAATTCGTTACATCCATATTTGTTGCATCAAAGTTTGATTCACTAGCTCTAAACTAGCTGAACATTTTTTGCCAGATGTGATGAATTAATGATTATGGCGGTACTGTTCAGCGTGGAAGCGCGGGTTTGATTCTCAATTGTGGTGGTAACATTCGGATAAGGGTGTCGTGCAGAAACACGCAGATACTTTGATTAAGGTGCACATTAAGGAACCCCAGCTGGTCAAAACCAGTCCACAATTTCTCACCATGGAGGTGAGCTTCACAGCGTTATCATGGTTCTGGCACGTAAAAATTCTACGGTTTGAGGAAGATGACGGTGATGACCACAAGGGGCTCAAAAACGAGCAGACCAAATAAACAGCTGCCCTAGGCATGCATATTAAAGAAATGAACAATGTTTTCATTTGCCACTTGGTGAAACTGGACACGCAGCTTTCCTGATCAGACAAAACTGCCAGGACGTTGGAACGCACCTCGGAAAAGCGCTGATAGACACGACTCCACGAGGAACGTCTTGAGGAATCACGGCTGCACACCAGGAGCTGCGAGACAATCTTCTTAAACAGCTCCTTGATCGATGCGGGGCCTTGCTTTTCGTTCAGGGCGTCCTTCACAGACTCGTACCAGTCCTGCAATACGTACGTGCAAAAGCAACGAGAAACAATCGGTGCACAGAGCACGTTGTGACAATGACCTGTTTAGTGACTTGGTATGTGGTTGCGTCATCACACAATCATTTGATACGTGGTACGTGGTCACTTCCAAGCTCTATTTTTGCTAGCCCTCTAACTCCGTCACAGCGTTGCCTCTTTTTTCTTTAAATAATTTTCAATCATTGTCATCTACACCCCGCATGGCCTTAGTCATTTCATATGCATTGTCTCTTAATGTTTTGACACTATGAACTTGATCACGAGTGAAGAGCACATATTCACAATAGCAGCACTCTGTGATGAAGACCAAGAACAGTAAAAAACAAAACAAATATTATACAAGACACAATAAAAAAACTAATTACACAAAGTAAAAAATCTAAGCAGTAAAATAAAGAAGTCTTCTATAGGATGTGCGCACACACGACCTGTAGCATAGGAGCCCAGTGCTACGTTACAATATGAACGGATGCATCGACCAGGTGAATAGAACTCTCTTAGCAAACTCTCGCACCAACGGACACGCTTGACTATTTTTACTTCCCCACTGACACCATGCCCCCATCAGCTCAATGCCGCACCTGTATCTAGAGCTGCAAAAATTATATTACATTCGTCCTTGTGTGTGTAGGGGGGATGTTCTTACCTTGAATGCAATCTCCGGAAACTGGAGCAGTTCCAAAGCCTTGATGAAGTCATTGACAAGCGGAACTTTATCCATGGCTTGTTGCAGGCTGAGAAAAAAAAAAAAAACAGCAACAAAGCTCGATCTACAAAGTAAAAGAAGAACAAGTTCTCAAACAGCTCTAGAATACGCAAGGAAATTCAGAACTGATCACCTGCGCAAAGAAGCACAACTGCACATTCGTGCTGCTTACCTCATGTATTGTTTATAGCTTTAATTTGTGTACTTTAAAAGGAGAACTTAACATGCGTGACCTTAACATATGTTAAGAAACGGCACAGCGAAAAACAACTGCCCTCGGGCACCTTGCTTCAGTGCAAAAGCGCTCATTACACTCTCACGTCCTCAGCTGCCAATAAGCGGTACATTAAGCCTTTGTATAGTTTGAACTTATCGGAAATCCACCTCCCTAGTGGCTGAAGCGAGCAGCTTCAGAGATCGTTCAACGACATCGAGGCTTGCATGCCTGAAGAGGTGTGTGATGAGAGACTAGTGGAGCGCATATTGCTTGTATGCCCCGCGTACCAGGACGAGAGACAATGAAAAGTGGACACGATCTGTCGCAATCGGTTTATGTTACACAGTGTATTAGGCCCTGTGCCAGGCCCCTCAAAACAGTGACGGGTTTTACAGTGTCACTGCTGAAATTATGTGAAATATTGGCCCCGTTGGAAAGCTTCAACGATTGACTATGTCCCATAAAGAAGCCTCAATAAAACTGACATTAGAGTTGTAAATATTGTTATGCCAGGTTCACTCGCGGATTTCACGTTTGTTTACTATGTGCTTTCTATTTAGTATTATTTTCTTCCCTCTCATGTGGAACCTTTCAACCACATTCCCCATACCTACACAAAGTAGTATGCCTGTGGTATACAGGCATAGGCAAAAATCAGTTTTTTTCTAATGAAGAGTCTCCCTCTTGGCTTAGGTTGATAATCTTGTAAGTCTTTGAGCGACATACATATACAAGCACCACAGAGTACCTCTATTTAATGTACACAGGGCAATGGCCGCTATCCTGCAATGGTCTAATGCTCACAACGTCTAGCAACTGGCTCTAACGCACGTGGAAACTTACCGGCCAACAAAGTTCTGACAGGCTTTCTTTGTCTTTGGGCACTCGAACGTGTAAGCGCTGGAGCTCACACGGAAAGGATAGATCAGGGCCTGGCAATATAAACAAAATAAGGTATGCATTGCCAAAACGGTTTGATGAATACGGTTCAACCAATGTGAAGTCTCGCAAGACAGAGAGATGTGAACACTACAGCAAAGCATTTTCTGAAATTTTAACTTAATAGTGCGAGCCTATCTAATACCTGCAAGTTATACGAGAGAAATGACAAATTTACCTCATGTGCTATACTGACCTCGAGTAGCCTCTGGTCGATTCTACTTGACATTGCATGTTTGTCTACTTTACACAACAGTCGTGCAGTCAGTGTGATGTTGTAACATATGTTTAACTACTGTTCGCGGAACATTTACAGCATACAACCATCTTCACTACCCCATATGTTGTTAAAGCCGTAGAGTTTCCCATGTATACACTAGAGGGAACCCTGGCGTTAGTGTCTATGGAAGCTGCAACGCATAACGCTTCACCGAGCATGGGAATTGTGGGTGTGCCATGAATATGCCTAGTCTTTGTACTTTACGCTCGCTTCGTGTGACTTGAAGATGCTTTGCCACGAAACGACAATTGGCAAATGTATGGCAGTTACGCTGCATCACCTTAATCTTTTAGGCTTACCACATCGAATTGGGTCGCGAAGTGAAAAACGGCTTGTTCTTTCCTTCGAAACAAAAAACAGAACACAGCAATAAAACAAAGCCACAAGTGCGGTTCGTCGCCCGCAAGCACGAAGACTAAGCAAATCCATGTCATAGCCATAATTCCCACGGTCGCTGAACGATCGCAGCACCAGTGTCCCCTCTAGCTAACTTTAGGAAACTCTGTGGTTAAAGCGATTGCACAGACATCTTAAAATGATGTTGCAAAGGTTTGCAAGAATGATGAACATGCGACATTTTGTAGATTGGGCATATCTATGTAATATAAAAAGCTCTAGTAGGCCTCCAAAAGCACCCCGACAAGGTGTTGGCAGAAGCCAAAACATACCTGACACTGCCTATGCACCAAGTTATGGTTAAACACGCAATGTTACCGGGGATGTGCAACACTCTTTCAGCGCGGTCAGAGAACACCGCCGATCCGCAGCTGAGGCTCCCGAGAGCATGCATGCCAAACATTATTGCGCAGCATGCAGCCCGGAGTTTATAATCAATTCTCAGAGTGTGCAATGAACTGCTCGCTTTCGTCCTGACAAACGATGCCATTAACAAAAATTAATGCACCATAAACAAAAAGTTCATGGCCATTGGCTGATTTGAGCATCATCAGCTGAATAGTCACCACAGCCAGGTGCCTACATGCTTGCTCACAATCGTGCTGAAAGAAAACCTCGCATTTGAAAACAAGTGCCAAAGGTCATGACGTGCACTGACGGAAAAATGTAGCTTCTTGACCACTTGTCATCCTCCCCACTGCCTAGCTGTCAGCGTGCTTGCTGGTGCGAAAGGAGCAGGGTTTTTTTTTAGGCAGTCAATTCGTGAGCCAACAAAGTTAAACCCCTTTATAAGAGGCATGCTATAGGCAGCAATTCTTGTCTCTTATATGAGATGTCTCTTTTAGGTAGGGTACCTCGTATGCATTTTATTATCAACCTGTATTTTACTATAGGGACACTTGCGTCTCTTATACACATTTATCTCTTATACACATTTATCTTATACACATTTATCTTATACACATTTATACACATTTATCTCTTAGGTTTGACTGTAAAGTATTCGAAAAAATGCGGCAGAGACTCTTTAAGAAGCTTGGAGAGGCCCCACTCGAAAAACAGAAGCGCGGCAGCCAATCACATTTACGAGTAAACAAACAGACCCGCTCATGACTCGGCAGTGTTTGCCATGACTTGGCAAAGTGGAGTCAGCAGCCGTTAAGCTCTTGAGGTCTGTCTGGGGTGTGCGTCCGCTCTCGCAGGCTTGCATGTGTCCACCTTTGAGGAGGAAATGCTGCGGACTTCTAGAGTTGTGTTCAACTACACGCACAATGCTGGCTTACATTGGGGTAGTGACGTGCCACGCTGTCAACAATGTCAAAGAGGAACGGTCCCACTTCTTTGTCGAGGAGGGCGAGAATCTGGCTGATCCAACGTAGGAACATCCAGCAGGGCACCTTGGAACACTGGACGGAAGGAAGAGCGTGTGAAAGAAAAACTGTAAGAATGGACTTTTTCTTTTAGTAAGAACTACTATGAGGTCAACAGCAGCTGACTGAGTCTTCATAATAATAATAATAATAATAATAATAATAATAATAAAACGTCGCCACCCACATTTCCTTATGGCGCGTCTTCTTGCGACAAACGCGGTAATCTTGGAATAGAATAATAATAATATCAGGGGTTCTAAGTTCCAAAACCATCATATTGTTTCGAGAAGTATTTATTACGTTAACGCTGGTCAGGTAAATGCTGCACACAGTGCACACACAGTGCACAGGATGGCGGGACAACAAGACAGCTATGAATCAGCCCTACAACAACAACGTCGTCGTTTTCATCCATGTGGTGTCATTTCGGCGCCCATGCTAGAGGTACTTTTCTATACCCGTGACAATGTATGAGAGACGCCGTAGTAGAGGGCTCCGAAAATTTTGACCACCTGGGGGTGTTTAACGTGAATGGACATCACACATTAAATGAGCTGCAACTTCACCTCCATCGAAATGCGGCCGGAATTGAACAGAGTCCGCATAGTTCAGGCATGCCGTACTTGCCTGAGCAGCGAAGGCCTTCCCACAGGACGGATAGTTCTGTAGGAGCAGCAAGAGTTGAGGAAACATGTCGGCTGCTTGGCTGTGACCCAGACGCATGGCGCTCAGCAAGGCGTCCACCAGAATTTGCGGGCACTCGTCGAACCGCTTCAGGCAAGGCTCACCTAGTGTCCGCAGCGAGCACAGAAAACCTTTGTAACATTTGTTTACCTTTGAATGATCTTCTCATTGTAATGACAAAAGCAGCGCTCGGGCACAGGCGCATGCTAGGTTAGAGAAGTGAAGAAAGGGACGAGGTCAGACGAAGAACAGCCGGCCCAGTGTACGGGCCTTGTCTCTTTGAATCGTTACAATCAGTGCGGTGGTGATGTCCTCGATCGTGAGAGCAGAGTACACAGCGGTCCCAGAACTCATGGTGGCGAGATACAAGGCCAAGGACACGTGAACAGCGTCCCTTGTCTTCATTAGGTATGGATGCAGTGCTGCGAAGTTGTCGAGGAGGCTTAGACGCTGTCCCCGAACAGTCACAGTGGTGGCATGTGAGCAGGTGCCAAGGAGGCCATGGACGCCATCCTCAAGCTGTGCTTACCACGGCTGCACATTGGCAGGTGCCATGGTGCCATTGTGAGTTCCGGGGCCACCGCATACTCCGCCCTCACGGTCGAGAACATTAGCACCACACTGATTGTAACAATTGAGACAAAAAGACAACGCCCGTACGCTGGGCCGGCTGTTCTTTGTCTGACCTAGTCTTTCTTCACTTTGATAGCCTAGCATGTGCCCGTGCCTGAGCGCTGCTTTTGTGATCATAACATTATAAAGTTTATTATTAAAACATCCAGCTCATCTGCATAGACTGATCTGACTAATTATTCATTAAAAAAATAGGGTACACTATATGAAGCTGTTGCAGGTTATTCATGGTTAGACTTGCGTGTTGCAAGTGCAGTCATTCATAAGAAGGGGGCGATGGTATATCGTTTAGCAGCATGAAGGCCACATACGAACAAAACTGAATGCAGAGCGTCAAATGATTGCATCAGGCATACATAAAGGATATTGAATTGTCTGTTATGAGCAACAAAGTCCAGTTTCTGAATTCCTCCAATTTATCTCGTGAAATGTACAGGAATGCTTATTTCAGCAAGATGGACTAACGGGCTATACTTCGGCAGAACTTTAGGAAGCTGTATTTGCATCTCAGAGGCAGATGCACACAAGCCGGCACCAATAAGCATGTCTTTTAGACTAAAGTCACAATTTGGACAGTTACTGATGCCACCGTGGAAGAACATAGCTGAAAACATGGGCAAGACTATTTCTTAAGTTGTACAGGCAAACAGCTGCTGCACTTTACTCATCTTGGCACTTTCTGAAGTGCCTCATCTTGTGATTTAGTTATATTTTTTTTCTTCTTATGATTCAAGCAATTAAAAAAAGTACTGTAAAGGAACATTAATCTGAACTCAGTTAATTGAAGTTGATACCCTGGTCTAGGCAAAGCCCTGCATATTCCTATGAGAGAAAACTCCCGATGATTTGAACGCATAGGTATCCACAATAGTTAAATCAAATGGGGTTAAATAAAACTATCTGGTTTTCATTGCTCCCAGCAGTATAGTTGGCCCAAAGTGACCATGACATGTTGCATAACCAAACAAAACCAAATGTACAAAAGATGCAAAACAAAGCAATAGCGTTTCTCCAAAGATAAGAATTTGGACTCTCAGCCGGAGCTCCCATTGGGCAAGCTGCCAACAGCGCTCATGGAGTCCTCACAGAAGTGCAAACAAATGCAAATGACTGATGACTCAATTTTGATTGTATTAACTCTGCTAACTCTGCCATTTAAGTGAATGTGCTTTGCAGCATGGGTGGCATCATATATTTTGACATTAGACTCGCTACTCATACAAATGCATGTTGCTGCTCGTTTTTTGCATATCTGATCAATTAATTTTGTTTGCTGTTAGAGCTCGACGAACTTAACTTAGAAACTCACCTGCCACAAATGTGTACTGTCATCCAATTCACATAAACGCGTCCAGAGGTGGCTTTAGGTTCTTCCTGCGCAGTGTGGTGCGACACCTGTTCATTTTAGCGCCTTCTCCCCAATTCGAACTTCGCTCATTACGAACAATTTTGTGGTGCTTTTCAAATTCAAACTAACCAGCTTTTACTGCGCTTTTCCCTGCTGTGAGTACTTCTCTTGCACTGTTATTAAAAAAAACCTGTCCTAGTACCATAGAAGGCGTGCACTGATAAATTCGGGTACAAATTTTTTTGTCCACACTGTTGACCTGTGGAATTCTTTACTCATTCATGTTAGATCATTATCAGTCGCTGAACTCGTGTTGCATATTGATTCAACTCAGAGAATAGTGATTTGTTTTGCAGTGCCAGTACGCGACGCTATCCGCTCCTGTGATATCCCCTTCAAAATAGCAGTATGTCGAAATAGAATAACTTAAATAAAACCCCTGACTTCATCTTTCTTTCTTGGTTAGTTTATTCGGAACACCTCTGATATTGCCCAAGGAGACACCGCTAAAGGACAAAATTTCCTGAGTGGGTCATGCCACCCATACGGCAGCAGCAGCACAAGGACGACATTTACGAACATAAAAGCATACATAAAACTCAAACACTAGACTTATTTTACACAGGTGAGATGTGCTATTCATCGAAATTGAAGAAAATAAACAAAAATAAAACTAAAACATACATGTTATACAACTTTGACAGGTAACAGAACACCACCAGAACTCACTGTGACACAGGAGCGGGCACACGTACCAGTTTTCTCTGCCTGCAAGATGCTGCTGCAGAATATGGCCAGGCTCATGTGTGCGTCGGCTTTCAACTCCGGCGATACCTCTTCCACGGCGATGGCGGCGAGATGTTGATGGAGTGCTTCGTCGCAGACTGACCGCATCGTCTGCAGTAATGCAGCACGATCATTTCCTGCTTCAATAACAACAGTCAGCTTTTCAAAAGTGCACTGCAAATGTCTCACTGCAGTGCGATTGCCCAAGCTTGTTGATACACACAGAGGTGTCACATATGTTCTCATAAGTCAAAGATACCTAACGTGTTGTCGGTTGACTGGTAACTAAATTGAAAGTTGCTTTAGCTAATGCTAAGAATTGCACAGGCAAAAGCGTACGCACTTAGGAGACTGATAAAAGCAATACTTTTTTGCAGACTAGTTGGTTCATACTTGAAAAAATTGAATTGCTGCACAAACTTGAAGAAAAAAACAAGATAGACAAGAAAGAGCGCAGTTCTACCGAATCTGCGCTCTTTCCTGTCTATCTTGTTTTTTTCTTCAAGTTTGTGCAGCAATTCAATTTTTTCGAGACTGATAAATTTACTTTCATATCACCAGTTCCTTTCAAGATCCCACTTCCCTTCTCAAATCACCTTTTGAAGTTTCTTACGCTTCATCTGGTGTTGCATTACCTCTGTTCCATTATTGACCAAGCAATAATGTCACCTGATGCCGCCATCACATGATGCTGTAGCATGTTGTCATCGATAGCATCATAGCGCGATGTCATTGGGATGTCACATAATGTCATCATATGGCATCACCAGTCGGTTCTGTGACTTTCGATGCCATTTTTGTTCATGCCAATGGTGGTCACCATCGGACACCAGATTTTTCAACCCATGAGATATAAAGATTGTGCCTTAATGAATTAATTCAGTGTATAGTTCTTCCTACCACAATAACGTAATAGGAAAAAGCTGGCAATGATGGCTGAGGGTTCGACAAGCTACTTACATAAACGACAACTTTAGTGCACTGGTTTTCTGCCTGTTTTTGTATGAACACTTTCAAAATGATATTCAGCTTCATTTTATTGAGCAACTGTGCAGCTCTCGTCCCCCCTCAAAACACATGTTCAAACATCTAGGGCTACACCATATCAACCCAGAGCTGGAGTAGTACAGTTTTTTTTTTCATGTCCTGCTCTTCTCTTTCTTTCTCTTCACCCCTCCCCTTGGTGTAGGGTAGCAACGATTCCGGACGCTACAATTCTGGTTGACCTCCCTGCCTTTCTCCGATTCTATTTTCTCTCTCTCATATCAGCCCTAATGATATAATTCCACGACCACTGACAATTCACCCACTGTACTTGCGGGCTTTAAAGACGTTTCTTTGTTTCATAAACACCCGCTATATGCTACAGAGCACAAGTGGCAGTGGCAAGTGTCTGAATAACACTCAAGCAAACATTGCCGACATCGCAGCCTCCGAACAGTTGCGTGGATGAAGGACAGCACTGCCGTGTATTCTTTGTGCTGCATGTATCCCACACGGCACACTAGCACAGAATGCAGCTTAGGATGTGTACGAAAGTACTCACGACAGGCTGCTTCTCGCTGCCGGAGAGCTTTAGTGCTGCCTTCTGGTCAGCTGTCATCTGTCCGCCAGCCCTCAAGACCTTTGAGAGCCCCGCCATCAGCCACCCCTTCAGCATCTTGTACTTCGTGCTGTGCACAACGTCGAGCGCCATGTCATCAGCGGCTGCATCTGTGGAGGCAAATGTCGGTGAGTCGAGCTCTCGGGCAATCACGATGGTTTTTTTTTTAATCAGAGGAGTTGGAGGACATCACTAGACTGCTTGTTTGGGCAAGTCGGTAGATATTCAAGGAAACAGGAAGCAGTGCGAGGCACAGGACAATGACAGAGACAGGCCAAGTTCCGACTTATGACCAAAGCTTTATTCAGTAAAAAGGAAGCACGCATGCGTGCACGCACGCATGCATGCACGCACACACACACACACACACACACACACACACACATACACACACACACACACACACACACACACACACACACACACACACACAGACAGACAGATCATGAAAGGATGTTAGAGAGAAAAGAACACTGACAAGGTATCTGCTAACAATTGCATTCATATGAAAAATGAAAAAGCCACCAAACATGTGAAATACACGTTTGAACGACTGAATTTGTGAATCTGGAAAACGTAAATGTAGTGCTGGTCTCCTTGTTGTCCCTTTGTCGTCGTTCTGTTCTCACGCTATATCAACCGTCATGTCATACCAACTAGCCCAAACCGCCACACTTTTAAGAAGATGTAGTGTTGCATTTTGTTATATTAATCCTAAGGGGTGTCATTTACACTGAGCTATCAACAAAGGGCGCTACTATCTGGTTAAAAATTCGCATATATGTATAAACCGTGCCGGGCACTTAGTAGTTGGCCCAGCCAAACATCACGTCGTCCTTTAGTTACTCTCGACAACTAGTGCTGTATCAGTGCTATAAAGTTGAATCCAATCGAAACGAAGCTGCATCTTACAGAATTTTGTTATCTTCAGTATTGTTAAAAATGTACCACTGAAGGTACAATACTAACAACCGCTAATAAACTCCCATAGTTGCTACTACTACTACTACTACTACTACTACTACTACTACTACTACTACTACTACTACTACTACTACTACTACTACTGCTACTGCTGATAATATCCCACCAGTTGTTGCATCAGCTTTAACAAAACCACTATAAATGTAACAAAAACAGAAAAGACGTTTCAGTCAACTTAAAACGAACTGAAACATTTCAGCATGCAAAAAAAAGAAAAGAAAGAAAAGAAACCCTTCAATATAATGAATTGTTTTTTGCCTGATTCTTTTAAACATGAGCTCATGGCTGAATAGGGCTTCAGCTTGACCCCATGCAGTCTAGAGGGGACACAACAGAGGCAACATCACAAATCATCGAAAAAGCAGAACAAGCACAGAGAACAAACTAACAAATATGAACTTATTTAGAATTAGCAGACAAAAAAGCCAAGGAAACTACGAGGAATGTTATTTTGTAGTAATTATATTGTAAATGTGAAGAGTAAAGTAAACGTAAAGATAACTTGCTGTTGGGAGGCACTGAATCTGAGACCTTCGAATAATGTGACCGAGGCTCCAACAGCGTTGCTACAGCGACAGCCATCCCCTTGTCCAACTAACAGAAGGCCGTTGGTCTCTTTCAAAAGCAAGTTATCTTTCTGTCCGCTTTGCTTTCTTCATGTTTACGTCGTGATAACAATATGACATCTCTTACACTTTCTCTTGCTTTATTGTCTGTTAGTTCAAATTAATGTTGAGTCTAAAAAAAGAGAAAACGAGCCCTTAAAATTCCCCTTCCTCCAATACGACCTTAGCCATTTTTTGGGAACTCACCGACTTTGTCAAGCATACGCATGTGCGCAGCAATCTGCTTGGGCAGGGGCTCATTCTCCGAGGCCCTCCTGAGCATGGCACAGTACGTTTCCACGTAACGCCAGTCTGCCCAGTCCCCAAGCTGTCCCGAAAGCCTCATCTGCGCAATAGCAAACGAGTGTGTTTCAAGCAGGAATGCCGAACACGCCAAATTACTCGAGAGTGCGAAATCTCGTTGCTCTGCCACAGCAGACAAAAGAAACTGATCTGAAGGGGTTCTGCAACACCTTCTCAGCGTGGCTAGCAAATGCTGCCAATCGGTAGCTGTGGCTTCAGAGAACATGCAAGCCAAAATGTAGAGCACAGCACGCGACCTTGAATTCACCATCAATCCTCAAGGCAAGCTGGAAATCGCTGGCTCATCTTCAGACAAACGATGCCGAAAACCCAAATGACTGCACCATTAACACAAAGTTGGTGACCATCGACCGATTTGAGCAGTGTGAGCTTCAAAGTATTCACAGCCGCTGTAGAAAGCCGCGACGAGCCCTGCAAGCTTGCTCGCAATCATCCTAAAAGTGAACAGCACACTCAAAGAAAAAAAGAAAGATAAGAAAGTGCTCCAGGTAATAACACTCGGAAGGATGAACTTAGCTTCTCGCTTCTTTGTCATCTACCCTTTCCCCCGCGTAGCTTTCAGTGCGCAGGCTGGTTCGAAAGAAGACAGTAAGCGTTTAACTAAGTGCACAACCAATGTCTGTAACTTTACTCATCTCATACTTGACGGATTATAAAAAATTTTGTGTCTGACAATTTGTGAGCCAATAAACCGTGATTGGGTACTGTACAGACAAGCAAAATGCAAAAAAAGAAGACAGAAAAAACTGAACATTATGAAGACAGGAGAAGTCAATCCAGCCCTTGTCTCATCTTTTTCCTTGGCGTTTCGTCCACTTGTGCACTAACTACCCAATGATGAACAGGTTACAACTCATCTGTCTTTCAGCCCTACTACAATAAACTTTTCAAATGAAGCTACGAGAAGATTAATTGGTAGGCTTGTGTGAATAGTAATTTTAGGTTCAAAGCGAATTCGAGGCGAATAGTGATTTTGTCAAATATTTCACATTGAATTGAACTAGCTTATATATCGCATATTATAAAAAAAAGTGGGCATATTTGTCATGGCCTAACAAACCTGCATAATATTTTAAAAAACCTGAGGCAAGGCCTGATCAAATACAAGTTTTTCACATAAAAAAAAGTGGAAACTACTTTGAATAGTAGCAGAATTCATCTTTCGCTAGAATGCAAGTGATAACTTGTAAAATGTTATTTTTTAACATTTACTTTACTTAGAGCATATGAGTAGCCATATCATCAAGCTTTTAAACTTAAAAAATCAATCGAAGCAATGGTGATATCCTCATATAACTTTGATGTGGAGCTTTGCGGCGTGCAAATTTCTTCTGGATGGGTGTTTTCATAGTTTAGCACAACTCCACAACAGTGAGACCACCTTTACAGGGTAACACATGCGGACTTGTATGCATTTATTCGTTTGTTTCGAATAATTCGAAATTTTCAATTCAATTCAAAGTGAAATCGAATACTACTTTATTTGTTTGAATATTCAAAGTATTCAAATATTCGCACAAGCCTACCATGTGAAAAAGTGTTGCAGGGTTTTTGTAAGCTTTAGAGCAAAAACTACATTAAAGGGGTACTGACACCACTTTTCGGAGGTGCATTTACTTTGCCCTACGTATCCCCCGCATAAAGAGACGGCTCTAAGCATGCCAATAAGATGTTTTATTCGGGTATTAAAGTCAGTTTTTCCATGGCACACCTTCCGACATCGACACTAGCTCGAGGTCAGGCTATAGAACTACTTCTGGTGACGCTAGCCTGGCTAGTTGTGGCGACGTCAGGTACCACAAAACTTCCAAAATGGCCACCTGTACGTCACCAATGGGGCCACACTGTGGAGTGGTCACAAAAATATCATATCTTGCATGAGCATGTGACAAGAAGCTAATGACATCGTGAATTAGGGTACAGTAGGAACTGAAACTAGCTTTAAACATGCCGTTGTAACCTTTAAATGGTACACTAACGCTAACCATCACATTTCCTAGGCTCTAAAGGGGCCACTCAACAAGCTCTGACTTCTTTATAACACCCCTAAAGAAGCTCAGAAATTCGTAAAGTAGAGCATGGCGATCACGTTTTCCTAATATTACAGCGCTGCGCGTCGTGCAGAGCCTCCATTTCGAAAAACGATTCCCGTGCTCCTTTCCTGCGCCTGACCAATTTTTCCTTTCACGTCGAGTGACGCGAAATCATTGATTGGTGGCTTGACCTAGCACACAGCTCGTCGATTGGTCTAAGCCAGTCACAACAACGAGCTACGTCTTTCCCTGCCTGTGAGGGAGACGGGTGGCGAAGCCGTGCGAAACTTTGAAATCAGCCAAAACTGATGTTCTAGCACCTGTAACTTCTTTATTATAGCACATATTCGCGGAATTCTTCCGGCAGCCTGTTCACAAAGCAAAAGTGAATATATTTTTTTTATAACAACTTTTGAACCTCGACGTAGTTTACTGGCCCTTTAAAGGCTTTGCCTTTCATTTGACACACACAAGCAAATGACAACTGAGAGTTTTAGTGTCAGTACCCCTTTATAGCAACATAAACTCAAGGCAGCTGAACAAAATTACTTTAATGTTGCTCAACCCTAGATGCCTCTCATCCAGTACATGCAGTTGTACAAATGCTACACCAGTCTATAGCTTTGCCAAAAATGCATGCGGTTTATTGATTAAGTAATGCTGTTTATCCGCTGCCATGTGGCATTTAGGAGCTGAGCAAGCAGCCCTATGTTCAACTGGTGCTTTGTGAAGCAAAAATAAAGAGGCGAGCTTCACGAGCAGCCGCCCGTACCTGTTCGATTTCGACAACGGCCCTGAGCGCAGATGGGACATTCTCCTGCTGTAGCATAGCATTGGCAAAGGCGTTCAGGAGCAGCGCCTTCTCCTTGGGAACTGGATGCTTGAGCGATTTCACGAAAAAGCACCTGACACGCAAGCAAGGAATGAAAACAGACATGAAAACTGACAGTGTTCACGTTACGGTGCCAACGAAACGCAAACAAATGGCAAATCTGGTGAAAAGACGGTCTGAAGAGAGGTTATACAGAACCTCGATGTGCTAGAGTTAACACAGGCATATCATATAATTATAAAACCATGTTCAAAATTTTATGCAAGAGTACGGTTCCGTCGCATGGGTATGTTGACATATGCTTCCTTTTACTACAGACATATCAAGCGCAATGTAGCGCTGCAGGCCCGCAAGTACTACTGTGTATTCTCACATCATCGAAAGAACTCATGTCAACAAGTATTCGTGTCACGTTTACTATTCGAACTATTCGAACTGTCAGAAGGTACATATACAGTCAACGACCATTTTTTCGAAATCCCTAGAGAATGGGAAATCGTCCAAAAACATGCATTTACCGTATTTACTTGCGTAATCCTCGCACTCGCATAATTCTCGCACCCTCCACATCCCCCAAGAAAAATACAATTTCTTTTTTTCCTCGAGTACAGTCGAGCCCGACTATATCGAACCCGTTTATATCAAATTCTCCCGTATATCGAACAATTCCTAAACAGGGTAAGTTTACATTGAGAATATATAGCAAAAGTTACTGTTTTATCGAACGAAAATAGCAACGACAAGTGATATATCAAACTCCATGTGCCTCAAAAGTGCCCCAGCAAGTTGGCTTTCCCTCGCACTGGCGGGGAAAACTGCCGGCGCCACCCTAGAAAAAGTTGCTTAGACCCGGTTGTGCGCGGGTGAACACTCCCCTCCAAGAAATGATCCTGGCCAGCTCACCGCGCTTACAACTAATCAGAGGCCGTCGTGCTTTCTCCGAGGCGCGAAGGCGGTAGAAGTGAGTGCCATTTTTTCTTTCTTTATGCTTGTGTGCCTGCTGCTGCCGATTCAGCGTGTTCTGTGGTGTTGCCTGTTGGTGCTCTGTGAACTGTATTGGCACGCTGTCATCATGGCTTGCGCAAAGAGGCAAAATTTGCCGTTCGCCGCGAAACTCGAAATCATCAATCGGGTTGAGCGTGGTGAAAAGAAGTCCGACGTCGCCGCCGCGGACAAAATTCCAAGAAGCACCTTGAGTACTATCCTGAAGAACAAGGCAGACATCAGGGCCAAGTCGGACAAAAGGCCAGGTGCCCGTGGCACCCGACGTGTGCGCGCTGCTGTGTACGAAGATGTTTAAGCGGCCGCTTACAAGTGGTTTGTGGACGTTCGGTCGCGAAACATCCCGGTGTCCCGGTGTCCTTGGCTTTCGAGCAGAAAGCCAAGGACCTTGCTTTTCTGCTTGGCAAGAATGATTTCCAAGGTGGTTCAGGCTGGCTTCAGCGTTCAAAGAATGGCACGACATCGTTGGCAAAGCTGTTACAGGTGAAAGCAGAGCGGCGGACCTGGCCAGCAGAGAAAAATGGCTCGAGGAAAACTGGCGAGATATCACAGCAAGATATAGAGCCCAAGATATCTTCAATGCGGATGAAACTGCTTTATTTTTGCAAATGTTGCCAAACAAGACACTTGCGTGTCGTGGCGACAAGAGAAGCGGCGGCAAGGCCAACAAAGCTCGTGTGTCCGTGCTGTTGGCAGCTAATTTAGACGGATCACAAAAGCTTCGACCTCCGGTTATCGGGAAAAGCACGGCACAGCGGTGTTTTCGAAATGCGCTGTCGCTTCCAGTTACCTACCGAGCAAACTCAAAAACGTGGATGACCAGGGAGCTTTTCAGCAGATGGCTGTCGTCGTGGAATGATGATTTGGTAGGCGAAAATCGCAAGGTGTGCCTGCTCGTAGACAACTGTTCATCGCACCACTGCAGTATGACCTTCAGCAACATCAAGCTGCGTTTTTGCCCCCAAACTGTATTGCAACCACTGGATCAAGGCGTTATACGTGCAATGAAAGCCGGCTATCGGAAGCGCCTGGTGGAGAGGCTGCTGCAGAACCTTTGTGTCGGCAGGGAGCTTAAGATAGACTTGCTCGGAGCTATTTCTACGTTGAGTAGATCGTGGGCAGATGTCAAGAAGGAGACGATCCAGAACTGTTTTAGGCATGCTGGCTTCTGCATGCCTGGTGATGACACCCCGAATTCTGACAGCACTGAAAACACCGCAGGTGTTTCCGCCGAAGTTTGGAACGAGCTGGCATAGTTCCCAGGTGCTATCGACGGATCGACATTCGACGAGTTCGTCAGTGCGGACGATGATGTCCCCATCATGGGCCAATTACAGGATGAGGATCACATTGCATACGTCGTGCCGACCACGAGCCAAAGCGACAGCAATATGGAAATCGACGACGGCCCATTGCCTACATCCTCCGAAGTGATTAGTGCACTTGCGTTGGTCCGGCGCTATTGCTTCAATGTGGAAGGTTGCGGCCTCAGCTGCTCCGAATCATTGAACAATGTGGAGGCGTGCGTGCTGTCGCAGGCAGCGAAGTCGTTGACACAGAAAAAAATCCGGGACTATTTTGTTCCACAGCAGGGCACGCAAGTAAGCCACCATATTAATAAAGTACTTTTCTTCTAGTTTGTAATGTGCCTTTGTGTCAAAACCTATACTGAGCCTATATTGAATTATGCTACATATCAAACTAATAAACGTTTTTTGGCGAGTTCGATATACCCGGGTTTGACTGTAATTATCGCACCCCCGAAAACTGCTGCAATAATGTCGTCTGCTCGTTCCAGCCACTGATAATGATAGCGCGCGCCATCTGGCGCCATCAAGTATACTATTGCATGCAGATTCAATCCAATTTAAACCAAGCCGAAGTGGCCAGTGCGTGTTGCGGCGTGTTTTGTATGCTGTGTTGGTAATCTTGGCACGTTATGGGGTGATACTGGAGCTACACGGCTGCTTCAAGTTGTAAGTGATAGATCATGCACTAAACGACGGCAACAGGGCCGCCGGTAGGCCCTTCAGAGTCTACGAGTTTTGTGTTCGCTACTGGTGACGGCAGCTGAAAGCCACCAAGACGCGTTGGGCCTGCCGTGTGCCTAAAACTGGATTGATGATAAACTTTATCTCTTATGTATGTTATGGTGACCCCGCTCCTAACTGCAGCGGACGATCACCGCGGGTTCACGCTTAGCGAGCCACAGGGCCGCTACTCCGTTTACTCGCGTGTAGCGCACCGCTCCGCGCGCGCTCAACTAATAAGGCGTTTGGCGAGGCGCGGCAAATAGACAGTGTTCTAATGCAAAAGTACACAACACTTTATTGCCTCTGGCGGCACCCCGAACAATAGCACAACGTCCGCTCCCAAGACGCGGGTAGCAAAGGCACCCGCACGCGGACGTTCACAATAAGGGGAAAACCGCGAGCACGTCGCAGCTGGCAATGGCGAGCTTTGACACGCCGGTCGGGAAAAGGTCCCTCACGGCTATGCTGCGCACTCTCACGATGGCCACTGGGCCCGGTCGCGAGTGTTAGGGCAAACCTCGTACGCGCTGGGCCTACGGCAAGTGCGGCTCGTTGTGGTACGACCACTTCAAGCACTAGGCACCGCTGTGGGCTTAGCGTACGCTACCGAAGCTAGCACTCAAGTAAACACGCCTGCCGAGATGCCCAAGGCCACCCCAGGCAGGCTGCAGTCCGGCGATTCCCAAAGGGGACGCGGACGAAGGAAAACACGTGCTTACCCGGCGCCGTCCACGGAGAAGAGAGCGCTCCCTCAGCGCGCGCAGTAGCGCGCGCCGTGCCCGCACGTGGCGCCATCTATCGCCACGTGGTGTTAACAGAGCAGGAAAGCGAAAGGGTGTGGCCGTGTGGCGGAATGCCCGCGAAATGGTCGCGGGCGCGCCTCAGATCCCCACATCCTCCTCTCCTTAATTCACCCTATATACCGGTCTGCAAAGGCAGCCGGTCGTCGCCCATGCATGCAAAGGCGTCATGCAATGGGCAACAGCTAGCCTCAGCCTCGCTCTGCAACTGCTGCTGAAGAAAAAAAATAAAACAGCACAAGAATACACTTGACAAATACAATGGCTCCGCGGAAGAGGGGTAACGGGAGTTCATGATGCTCACGCAAGAGCGCGTTCACGGCTCGAAGGGGCAGCGTCACGTAATGTCTGACTTGGGTGATTGCGTGGGTGCGAGAGTTCAAGGGGAGGGTTCTGGTTGAGGCCTTCATGCGAGGAACGGGCTCACCTTCGTCTGGTTGATGTTGACGACAGCCCTGCGAGTCCGACGAACGCCGCCTCGGTGGAGGTTCGGATGGACCTCGCTGCGACAGCCGGCCCTTCTGCTTGCCAAATCCATTGGCTGCGAGGCGTTTTGCGGCGTCAGTCGCGTCGTGCACAGCGTCTGCGACAGCTGGCCTCGTGCAGGAGCCTCGTGCAGGTCTCCGATCACCTCCGGAGTCCAAAGTGGTGTAGGGGTCGGTGACTTCCTAAGTTGTCGCCACACGCACACACACATGCACACACACCTCCGATGGTCGAGTCTCTCCAAACGCGCACCGCAAGGGAAGCGCAGAGTGTCATTTGTCCCTCTCCCCACGCTAAAGCACCAATTCACAATCCCCTCCTCCAGCGAGAAGAAAAAAAAGAAAACACTGGAAAACATCAAGTAAACAACAACACTCAAATGACAATCAGCAGCAGTAACTGGGCGGAACAGACTTCTTTGCTAGCACTGGCTGTAGAGAAGTTAGCTAACTGAGACTAGAAAGTAAAACTGAGGGCCTTCGGTTGCGGAAATAAGCCCGCCGTCCGGCGCGAAATCACTAAGGTGACCGCTTCCTCAGATTATACCGGTGCGTGGTCCGAATGCGGTCCGCCGCGCCGGGTGTGCGCCGTTGCTTGCGCGAAGAGCCACTGGGCGCTGGCTCGTCAGACCTTGACGCAAAGGCTTTCAGGTCTGCGATATGGGCACGGCTGAGTTTTCCCGAAAGCGGGTCTTTCAGCAAGTACGCGAGTGGAGTCCAAGCTTTTTCCACTCGGTACGGACCAAGCCACTT